AAAACTTCAATCTGTATGTAAGCTTTACATGTCTTTAAATAGATGGATGGGAGGGAAATGGTTTATAAAATGATGTATTGACTGACAGATGAGCAATGGGAATAGGATCAGTTTCATTCCATTGATCTGTAGAGCGCTGTATAGGGATCAGAGGTCACACACACACGCACACACACACGCACACACACATCCATGCCAGAAACCTTAGAAAGCCTCTGGGAGACGCTTAAAGCAACATAACCATAGAAATGTCACTTAGAGCTACTGGGACCTGCTGCTGCTGCTGCTGCTGCTGCTGCTGCTGCTGCTGCTGCTATCATCAGCAGGTCAATGGTCTTCAAATGGTTTTCACTTATCTGGAGATCCTACAGTCCCACTGGGGAAGAAGTGAGTCACTGCTGGGAAACATATACACACAGGAAGGCTTTCAGGCGGGCAGGATTTCATTACAGCTAATTCGGGATGATTTTATGAATATCTGAGACTAAATGCACTGAGAAAAACTCCACAGCGACAGGCTCATACTGCTAGTTTACACACCTTAATAACTTGGCTTGAGTGCCCCCTAGTGGAGGATTTTCTTTGACATTCACAGCCGCTTTTCACAATGCCTTGACCACAAGTTTTGATAAGGGCTGATTATTTAAAAGCACTGTTAAGGACTGTTTGTGGAGCTCAGATGTGAATTTAATTTGACTGAAAACAGTTTACCCTGAATATGGAGCGTGCTCAGAGTTGAGTGAGTTTCATTGTTCCTCCGTCCTGTCATCATCTCTGGCAGGTGCCCATCTGGAAGGTCTTAGGTGCGATTATGTAACCAAGCTTCTCCTAACAACATAATGTGGATTACCACAGTGTACGCCCTTCATATTCTCAACCAGCAGTACTGGATTAACAGGTCAGTTTCGGGTTAGCCATTAGCCTTGACCCACCTCTGTTTCTCTGTGTGTCATGAATGGGAGGGGTCCTACCACCACCCAACATGTTCTCTTGTCCATATTCTTCATATATGTCTGTTTCTCGATGTTTTAATGCTGTTATTCATATCTGCTCTTTATATATTTATTCCATGTCTGTCCTTCCTGGAAGAGAGAGAAGAGGGGAGCTCTCCTCTGTCCCTTTTTATTTTACCTCGAAGTGCAACCATCCATTTTCTCCTGCTTTATGATTCTACTTCAATACATTGCATTAGACAACCAGTGGTCCCAAAATTCAGTTTGAAAACTTTTTTTTTTTTAAATTAAGACTGCAGAAATTATTTTTTTATTCTTTCCTACTGCATTAATCATCTTTTGAATCCTCAGATTTATTTTGTGACACTTTGGAGGGGGCCGACGCTTAGGTTGAGAACCATTGACTAATCTACCATCTAGACCAACTACAGCGGTAAAATGTGACTTATTCATGGATGAATCAATATTAACAATCTAACAAAATAATATCTAATAAATATCAGTCACCGCAGCCATTTGTCTGCAGGTTGAGTATTTTTACTCATGATACTCTAAATACATTTAGCTGATAATACTTTTGTTCTTTTACTTGAGTAGGTTTTTGAATGCAGGAATCTCTTGACCTCTATGATTATAAATTGAATTGTATTGACTTGCCTTGAAAAGATATGGTTCATACTCAGACATGCTGTTACACAAGTTAACCTCCCCCTTTAAATATGCACAGATAGAAACACACACACAAACTCACACCTGGCTCCCAGACGTAACTCAGGTGAGGAGCCGCCAGTGTGGGCCCAACACACACTAATTCCTGGGAGTCAGCACCACACACACCTACTGCTGATGTCAGGAAGTATTATACACACTTTCACATGCCTCCATACACACACACACACACACACACACACATACACACACGCACACACATAAACAGCACACAGTCTATCTCATCATATCCCTTTTATCTCCACAGGTGGTAAATTTAGCCCTCTGGCTCACTGTCAGCATGTCTACAATAAACAAATCAACACAGACACACACACAGACTAAAAGAGCTATCCTGTCATGTTGGTTTAAAAAAAAAAAAAAGAAAAGTCGACCACAGCTTTGTGTATTCACCTTCTGGCTGTCTTTCTATCCACCCGTCCATCTAGGCACCCCTCTAACGTGGCCTAACACATTCTGTCAGCAGCTCCACAGGTGAGCCAGTCTCATCTCACAACACCATCTCACACCACGGAGAGCTAATACCTATACTCATCTCTCTTTCTCTGATTCCTTCACCTCCATCCCTTCTTCTTTCTAATCTTTCACACAATGTCGCCATCTTTTCTCTCTGGTTCTTTTCTTTTTGTCTTCCATGGAAATTCTGCGTTATGATTCCCTCCTGTCCTTCCTCATCTGATCATACGGATGCCCCCAGGGGTGCTGCTAGGATTTCTGGGCTTTAAGGCAAGATTTGACAAAAAGCCACCCTCCCTCCCTCCCTCCCTCACAAAATGCCCTATGGCTTCCCTCAACCCCACCCCTTCTCCAGGCTTTTTGGGGGGGGGGGTCCTCTCACAGTAACCTCACCCTTGGCCAGTTATCCCACTCAGCACAGTCCAATGATTCCTGGCCACGCCGAGGTACACCGGTCAAAATGTAATTTTCTGCAAGATTACACATGATAATGACTCGCTTTGGAGGGTCGCCATAAATGATGACTTCCAATTATAGATGCATAACTATCGATCTGTCAACAGAAGCTGTGATAAAGAAGAGAGAGGAGTGAGGAGGGCAGGGACAGAGCTGTGGAGATGTACAGTAATGTTATGTTTACTGACATCTTTCCTTATACCACACACACACACACACACACACACACACACACACACACACACACACACACACACACACAGAAACAGTGGACACTGCTGCTTGCTGAACTGCTAACAAAGTCCTACATATAGGCTTGAAAGCAAGTATTGATGGGAGCCAATAAAAAGCCTGAGAGATGAGTTCACCTGGGAGCAGAAGAGACCTTCACCTGGTCAGGCACACACACACACACACACACATATATACACTGTACACACACCTCTGTTTCCGCTCAAACACAACACTGGACTGTTTCTAAGCAGACAGGAACAAAAACACATCGGTCCATTTGCTGCAATTAAAAAGAAACCCCCGCTTCTACTTCTTCTCATTTGCTCATCTTATTGCTTTTGCTCAGTACTCACTGTCAGTTTCATCCACTGGCTGGCTGGTTGGTCCTCCGCTCTACAGCTGCAGTCAGTCAGTCAGTCTCAAGGACAAACGCTCCAGCTCTCCTTGCCTCCGGTCTCTGTAGCTCAGCGATGCAGCAGCAAGCACACACACACACACACACACACACACACACACACACACACACACACACACTCACTCCCAACACACACAAATACATAAACACACACACACACCCCCCGTCTCTCTCCCTCTTTCTCTCCCCTCAGCGTCTCACTCTGATCCAGTGCTGAGTTTACCTACCTACCTGCCTAGCTTGCTCGCAGGGGAGTCCTGAGAGAGTGTGTCAGACAGAAAAGTGTGTCTAAGAGAAGGGGTGGTGGTGGTGGTGGGGAGGGAGATGGGGGGGGGTGGAGGACACAGCCAGCGTTCCCTTATATGCAGAGGGAGGTGGTGAGTAGAAGGGAGGATAGAGGACACACAGCGCTCCTGTATTCCTATAGATACAGAGGAGGGTTTTCTATTGCAGCCTTGCAAAGGATGGGAGAGAGAGGGAGAGAAAAGAGGGAGGGAGGGAGACAGAGAGAAAGAGAGAGAGAGAGAGAGAGAGCATCATATTTCAGTGATGTTGAGTCAGCATGTGAATGTGATGCATGTGTTGACGGAGTTGGAAATGTTTTAGAGGACATGTTCTTATGAGCAGTTATGGCTTAAAGCTCTCTGTAAAGGAGCTGTCAGAGTGTGTGTGTGTGTGTGTGTGTGTGTGTGTGTGTGTGTGTGTGTGCGCTGTCTCAGGAACACCAAGACTAGAAAGTTCTCCTGGTTTGTGTTTAATTAATGATCATGACTGGAAGCTGAAAGTGAAACTGGCTTCATTCACTCTGGACATAAAATGTATTTCAACAAGTTAATTTAACAGTCGACTGTTTCAGTATAAGAGACAACTGAACGAAAAATAAGAATCTGACAGGAAAGTAATTTCAGTTTTCTTTTCATTTAACTGGTAGACACCAGACATGGGAAAAAATTAGAGCCTGATGAACATATTGGCATGGTCGACATGTCTGACTGATTTTAGCATATTACAAATATCCTTTAATTCAGTATTGGTGTAAATATTGGCCAATAACAAACAAGATATTGCACTACAGAAAGATATGTTTAAGGTTCTTGGTTTCTCAATTGTAGAGAACTGGCAGGTTTATTTCTCAGCTTTAAATTTATATCTTGTAAATATTGTGGTCAAAAATAATAAGCAAATTTAAGGGCTCAGTATCAAAATTGTTTATAGTAACATTATGGATTTAATTCTCAAATACTGACAGGGAACAATAAAGCCAGTTCTCCATAAAACATTTTTTAAAAATGGTAAAAAGAAAAAACTTGAAATTTCTTGTTTTCTTGTTACAGACCTGGTGGAGTTGTATTTCCATCTTTATCACAAAGAAATCTGTCCTTCAAATTCTTCAAATTCAAGTCAAGTCAATCCTGCAGTCTTCCTCACAGGCTGCATACAGCCCGAATAACCTCCTCTAAAGGTAGGACAACCTGTATGTAACCTGAGAGGTAAAACCCAGGGCAACAAATCCACCAGCAACTCACTGCTGCTCTTTAGGCTACAGACATTTTTACACATCACAGTGGGAAAGCACAGGTGTATTCAATTACATTAACAATTCCACTTACAGATGCTGGTAATGTGCTGCTGCCTCACTGAAATAGTTTACTGAGGCACTTAATCTTCCTTATTGTTATTAAGTCCTGTCCTGCAAGTCAACATGTCTGCTGTGAAAAAGGTGTATTGATGCGAGTACAGAGTAACACTGAAGGCAGTTCAGATGAGAATATCGACATCTTTAATCAGACAGTCAGAGGACACTGGTAAGCAAGTTACTAATAAGTAAATCAAACTCAATCTGTACTGTTCAGGGAACAAATATATGAATTTGAAAAGTGATGGGATGTGTCCCCCACGATTGCTAGTGGAAATCTTTCAGGCTCTAGGTAAAATAATTTACCAAATGAGTCATTGGCCATGATCCAGAACAGTAGGATTGGCCTCGAAGGACAATAACAGCCACATAGTTTAGGCAGTCTCCCAGTTTAATACAATTTTTTTTGTCACTGACAGCTCACCTCATATTTCTCTTCACTGGCCTTTGCCTAACTCGAAAGAAAAAAAAAAAAATCCTCTTGCTCTTACAACAAAAGTCAAAAAAATAGTTACAGTACAACTTCCTGCACAAATCCTAATTCATATTTTTTCTCTCAACTGCACTTAAATTCATTTCAAATCTCTATTCTGAACAATCTATGGTGGCAATATGCTAACTAAGCTATATTACCCAATAGTCAAAATGAAGACTCATAATATCAACAAGGTGAATAGCAATGGGTCCACAACTAATTTAAAAAGATAATTTAAGTAGTGTAAGTGTAGTTAGGTCCTGCACATCCACACAGCTGTTTTCATTTCTGTCTGATTGGACGTCAGCCTGTCGCCCTCAGTCCTGAGAAAAGGTCTAATCAAGCTAATCAAGTGAAAACACCTGTGAACCATGGGGATGTAGGGCCTTTTAATGTGTAATATGACAGCAATACTTTTTTCAAATTCTGCAGACACTGAAATTAGCTCTATTTATTCATTTTCTAGACTTCACTAGAATTTGCATGGAAACACTGAAATGTCTAACGTGACAGTCATATAGTCATTTGTTATATACTGTGTGTAAAGTCAATGAGCATGGCCATGATAGGAAAATACTGCAGTCTGCAGAACAAACATTTGTCAGGATATAATACCTAAACAAACTGGGTGAAATAGGACAGTGGAGCAAGTCATTGGCTTTTCTTTTACCTCTCATGTCGAGAAGTGATGTCTCAGTAAACATCAGCAGACACCGGCCACAGCCACAGCTGCACATGCATACATACTGGTGCTAAGTTAAGGGGAAAAATTGTGGTTTTGATTCGTATCTTTTTTGTTTTTGGGTAGATAAAAACATTCTGATGACATGACTTATTCCGATTGAACAGTAGAATGGATGAGTAAAAACATCCAGATATCCCAACACACATCCATACAGTGTACCCTTACTTCATTACAATAAAAGGAACCTAAAATAAATCTTGAGGTATGGCCTACTCAAACAGTATTTGATTCCAAAATGCTTGTACAATATTGGACAAAACCATTTATCATTAATTCACTAACCAATACCACTGACTGAAAATAAACCGCACTGTCATCACAGCCGCACTTTAGAGAGCTGCTCTCAGTATATAATCAACAATACCCCAAGTCTGAGGCGTGTAACGCTGGCATCTGAGGTAACAGGGCTGAGGCAGCATGCCAGTTTAACACACTAACAATGAGGCATCAATGTCATTTATTTTCTCCAACATGGAGTTTCTTGAGAGGACATGTTTACAAGAAGCTATTTTCTCCAGCTCAGCTGCAGTCATTCACTTTCATGTCTGTGTGGATATCCCAGGCGTCTTGCAGTTTCCCCAATATGGGAAAGTTTCTCTCCTTCAGCTCAGACTCTGTTGCTAGGACAAGCCTCACTCCTTCCCTTCTTATGACTCACATTCCTGGATTATTCTGGACCTTTTTTTTTTTTTTTCTTATTGTTCAACACCCTGAGCAACATTTCATTGGAGAGTCTTGTCCCAGTATGCTTCAGGTCCGGGATCCAGAAACTGGGGGTTCAGTTGAAACCTAGACCTGTGCCTTTGGGTCTCTGTGTGGCCCGGATGGGCTCGGTGATGCCCCTTCCCTCTGGACCCAGGCCCATCCCGGGGTTCCAGCCCATGCTCTGCAACATGCGGCTTCCCATGTTCGTGTCTGGGATGGGAGGAGCGTTGTCCCCAACCACTCCTGAAAAGAGAGGTTGCATGTTAGACAAGAGGGAGACTTGTTTCAGCCATTTTCAAGAAAAAAAAATAGAAGTAAAAATTCAATTGTGAATATAATCTGATTTTCATTGTCTTTTCTCTGATACTAAACTGAATATCTTGGTGTTTTGGCCTGTCAGTCAGTGTGCGACCATTTCTGTAACTTTCCCGAACCAATGATCTGACATTCACACCCTCTTCACGCTGCACTTGGCTAGCTGTGCAGAGGTGAGAGAGGAGCCAGGCATTGTATTTCTCTTCCTAGCTCTCCTTTTTCATTTGTTAGTGCAACTCTATGAATGTCTTCCTGGGGAGAGTGTGCGCTGTTATCCCCATTTTCAGTCAATATCGTGTCTCCTCCCTCCCTAACGGCCAGCTTTTCACTCTGCCTTCCAATGTGGCCGTTCAGAACAATTATTAACACATTTGATTTCCCGCTTGGCCGGACAGTGTGTCTTTAGAGCAGAAAATTAATTGTCAACTATTTCAATAATTGTGAAACAAACAGTTTAATTAATTTCAAGGGAAAACAGTTGTTGGTTCTAGCTGCTAAGATTAACAGAGTCATAAAATAATGCAGATAGCTCAAATTAGTTGCAGGTCTGGCAGTAGTGTTTGTAATGCTAATTTAGCGATTTCAAAGTTAAAATGCTTATTTTTGTTATTGTGATTCCTAATACTCTCTGGTACAGCCTCAGTAAACATCTGAAAAACTCATACTCAGGGCTCTCCTCATCACTCTATTAAAATTGTTCCTCTAAAGACAATACATAGAAGTAATGTAATCATGTAAGCAACTTAGCCACATTTCCAGTCGTGCAGCAAATAGATCCAGTGAGAGGACGTTTACGCCTGTCTCAAATAGACAGTGGTCATTTTGTTCTCTCTCTTCCTGGAAGTTGACGGTCCAGTCACTGAGGCTGAACTATTACCCTTTAAATCCTGTCTTTATTTGTATGCAGTGCAGGTCCAAGCTGCCTTCTCATTTACACACGATTGTTTAGTCCCAGGTGGGTTCAAGCCAGATTGTCAGGATGTGAATCTGGCAGATCCTCGCTGCCATCCTGCTGTGAGGTCGGCACCTACTGGTCCTGAGCGAGTATCAGACAAGCTCAATATTTGCAACGCATCACTGAACATGTCACTTTGGAGAATGCAATTTCAGCAATTTATCACACATGAAATTTGCGTGTGCCCACTACCTGAGTGTTGCTGCAAGTTTTGGCTGATTTTGTTAACATTTTTAAGTAACCTCAGTGAAATAAGGACCATATAATTTGGGTTTCAGTTACTGTTTTGTTTTTTCGGGCTGCATACTTGCTTTTGTGTGCTCTGTTTCTCAGATTTTCATTTTACAAGTAATGGGTGAGGATAAAGAAAGTAAGGGAGGTCACGTCTGCGATGGAACATTTTTGAACAAGCTCATAATCCACTGTGCGTACAATTCCGGTATCAAGTTGTAAATTATGATATAAAAAAATAAATAAATAAAAAAAAAAGGGGACATGGCTCCAGACAAAATATCGTATAATGGGACTTTGGCCTAATAACATTAGGCTTTGCTGCCTCACCCTTCCTCTTCCAAAAGCATCAACTGGCCCAGAGGTAAGAAGAGTGGCTTGGGGGAGGGGGTGGTGAAACACAAGTGTAACTGGCTAAGAGCTAATCCAGTATCTCTGCTGTGACAACATGACTTAGCCAGCTGACTCTTGTCCAACAAAGCTTAGGAGGAAAGGGGGTTTGGAGCTAAAGCAGGGTTTAATAATGAGAGAGGAAGAGAGAGGGAGAAATGTGAAGGTTGACAGACACCCTTCTTTCAATCTCAATCAACCCTTGTAAAAATGTAGAGTGAAAGCCTCACTTCCTATCCCAGTCCCTTGTGTTTACATCAGTGTAGGTGTGAGACAGACGGCGAGGAGGAAAGCAGACTGGTGAACATACTGAGCTCGACCAAGAGGGGGAGGAGAATAAGACAGAAAGTGAGAGCCAAAAATACAATAAACGGGGCAGTCGGTAATAAGTGCCAGATGGTGTGTTAGGTGTAGCTAGGTGTGCATCCAATACCTGAGGGAGCAGTGGAACCGAGGGGGGCTGCTTTTCGCCTCCGCTTGACATCCCCTGTACATAGAGAGCCCAGGTGCCCACTGGTCTGTCTGCAAAACCAGCCAGGCAGGACAAAAATATGGCAGCATTAGTTCGATTGCAAATAACACTACAGAAAGTATGCTTCGTATGAAAAACACGATTAAACAATGTGAAAGTCAATGAGACTGCAGCAAAGACAAAAGCTGGTGCTGAAAGAAATTAATCTGGTCATAAATCACAGGTGTTTTAAGCTAAAAGGCTGTCCTTACCTGCTGGCTGTTTTTACTGAACAGCTTCTCCGATGCCCTCTGTCTGTCCGTGGGTCCCAGTGCAACTAAGGAGGCAGTAGAGGAAAGAAGAAGAAAAAACAAAAGTTCAAGCAGTCAGCAAGTTATCCTTACAATAGCACAACACTGGTGTATTTAACACCCTGGGTCCTTGTAATACAAAATCTTAACTCTTCATTTCAACCTATTTGAAAGTGAATAAAATCAAGTCCAAAAACACGGCTCACCTGTCCATGGTCTCTCCTCGAGCCCGAGCTAAACCACGGCCTGTTGGAGATATGATAGTGTAAGTGCGCCATATCTCCATCAAGGCAGCGTTCCAGAGACAGAGACCAAGATTGCTATTCATCATTTCTTGCCATAAGTGAACTGTTGGCTCTTGTCCACCACAGACACTTTTATAGAAACCCAAGATCATTGATTGATGATTGATCAGTCTGCACTCAAGCAAAAACTGGGACAAATGTGAAACCAGTAATATGAAAATAAAAACATCAATATTTGGCCTACTACAGAACACATCAATTTTGTGCATGCTGTGATCTGTGTTCCTGTTTACTTTGCTTTAATACTATTTTAAGACAATTTTACTGTGTTTTTGTTTGATTTCACCCTGCTCTCTCACCCTGAAGAGTCAGAATCAACAGCAATTTGTAAAAAGACAGAACTCACTCATGGGAGTCCTGGGTTTGTCTACCCAGTCTATCATTGAAGCCCTGGCTGGAGCTGCCCTGCAATCCCGCCTCAGACGCTGGCTGGTTTCCATGGAGACGACTCAGTCTAGCCTGGAAACCTGAAAACATAGTGCAGGTTCATCAGCAATAAAATTCATGCTTTAGGATATGATTATTTAAATGTATTAGACCAGTTTGATAATCGTAACATTTAAATGCAGTGGACAGTTCATGCTGGACGATAGGCAACTCAGCCCCTTATGTCCCATCAAACTGTGTGGATACAGCACAGGGAGAGGTCATTCAAAAATGTACACTAATGGGATATTAGTCATGGAGAGAAAGGCAGCTTATGCGAGACACAGGACAGGATAAAAAAAAAAATCCTACTGCTACGCAATATAGTCACAATTGAAGATGTACCGTATTCCATGAAATTCAGGTAAGATGGTATGTGCAGTAACATTAAGGATAATTAGACCAGTCAATTGTCATGACCAGTTTCTAATTATATGAGAAAAGTCAGCCACTAAAATAAGTTGTTTCTATTTAATACTGCATGCTAAAACCAATGTTCATATGTAGAGGATTTTGCCCCCTGTATTTACTATACAGCAGCACCTCTTGCCACAATGCTTGTTTGTCTCACTGTGAAGTGTTTGCCTCCTACTGGTCATGAGTGAGACTGCAGCAACACTATAAAATTTATGTCAGCCCCAAACCTGATTATAGTGTAAAAGCTAACCATACACGCATTACACTGCGGTTTTCAAGCCAAGCCTCTCCCATACCTCTCTGTGCCCCAGGGCTCATGAGTGGGAAGGATCCCGTGAGGATGCTGTTGAAGACTGGGTCAGCTAGGTCCAGCTCCTCAGACCCGGTCTCCCTCTCCCACCAGGGAACCACTCCCGCTATCCCACATGCACCTCCAGGACCTGAACCAGAGCCCGGCTCTCCCTCATAGAACCAGTCGCTCTGCTCGTCGTCACCTGGAAGAGAGAGGATAGAGATCCCTGGTTCATGAGCACTGCTAGACATGTTTCAACTCCAACTTTTTCTGTGCATGTGACAATGGTAGTACATTGTTGTTCCGATGCATTTCTGGGCTGCACTCAGGCCAATAACAGGTGTCCCCCTATTTACTTGCATATACAAATACAGTCTATACCAAATATAAACAATAGGTTTTGCAGTTTAACCCATAATTCTAGACAAAACTGAATAAGTACCTTGTCTCCCCTCATCATTGGTGTAGAGGCCACCGTCACTGCTGTTACTGACACTGCTGGTTTCACTGCAAAGGAAAATAAAAAATACACTAAGGACATTTCCAGTGGTCAAGAGGAAGCCAATAACTGTCTTCTAGAAGGAAAACTAGCAAACTCACACATACCAAGGGCTGCGTATTACTGAAGTCTTTTGATAGATAGATAGTTTTAGTATCAATACCAGTATCATACATTTTTGATACCTTATATATATATGTTTTTCTACAAAAAACTTTTTTTTTCATTTCACAACAGAAGCCAAGGTTCTCAGATGTCGTGTGTTATCTAAACACAAGCAGCTGTAAAAGGACAATAGCATAAAAAAAAGTCTGAAATCAGCAAAATTTTCTGATTTCCTGATCAGTAAACAAGCTGATGAAAGTGACCAAAAAATGTATGCCAGCTTTTGATATCTGACAGTTTTTGATACTCTGTGCAACAAACACATTTTCAAAATAGAAGTGTCAATGATTGATTACATACCTTGCCCCACAAACAACCTTACCTGTTGGCTTACATGCTCAAACACATACTCGTACATACAGTATAAAGAAGCAGCGACAGAGAAGCAATTTCTGGAAACACAAGGCACAAAAATAAAACAAAAGTCAAAACACTAACCACCTGTCACTCATGTCCTCATCCGAGCCCTTCTGCTCCTCCAACTCCATCTTGTCCTTAGACGCTTCCATTGGAGAGGAGATGGGGTCCTCACTCTCCACTACCACCCCTTCATCTGCAGCCTCCACTCCCAGCCTGTGGGGGGCCAGTTTCCTCTTCTTTACCCTGTTCTTCCCTCCCACAGGCCCTACCAGGCTACCTCCACACAGCTCCATGGCACCCCTGTCCTCATTCAAACCAAGTCTATGTGGCCTTCCACCAACACGGGCTTTGGGGACAGGTGGAGGTCCGAGCATGGTGACGGAGGGGGGTTCCGGTTCTACAGGTGGGTCTACAGCCATACGTTTGACTTTACGTCGCCGTCTGAGGCTGCGAGTTCCCTCTACAGACCCCAGGACACCCAGGTCATCTGGCCAAAGTGGCCGCTTGCTTCGCCCCATGTCAGCAGTGAGGGGGGTGCGGCGTTTGGGGCCAAGTTGTTCATCCGAGTCACTGTTGTCACGGGCATGGCTGTTGGCAGCAGACACACCTCCTGTACTGGCACGGTAGTCCTGCAACAAATGTCAATGTGGTAAATACTAGACTGTGATGCTGATGCTAAATTAAGAAACTTGGGGAAAAAAATGTCCATTAGGCTAAAGCGAGAGCAGAGTGAGGCTAAACTAAAGCAATACTGTCAAATTTAAACAGGACGAAATGTGACTAGAAGAAAATATATATGTCATTGTCCAAAACTCCTTACTGCCACTTAAACAACAAAGAATCTTTACTGAGTGGGCAATCATAACTTTGTGTGGAGGCCAGTGATTGACAGTTAGGGAAGGGGAAAAGGGGAAAACAAGTTTCTATCTATCAGCTCCAGGGTGACAGTGGAACAAAAAGATGTTTCTTGAGAAACATTCACTAAATCATGACTTATCAAAACCACTACAAAGGCTAACTCCCATGTCTCCACTCTTATGGTACGTTTTTCTTTTCCTTTCCCTTCTCAAAAGAGCAGGGTGATGTAGACTGGTCATCCTAAGACTGTCTGAAGTGCTTTTGCTCAAGGTCCCTTCAGTCAGTTTAACACAGGGTTTTAACCTGGAAAGAACCATTGTCCTCCATCCACTCACCCCACCTCACCTTATGTTCTTCCACACTGGACTCTGAACCCTCACTGAGGTGGCCTGTCTCCCAGGGTGGGTGTGGGTTGTCCGAGCGCCGTTTTCTACCCCTCCGCTTACGAGCCTGCCTCTTCAGCAAACAGCCCACTGCCAGTGCATGGTCTCCTCCATCACCAAAGCCACCACGAGCAGCTTGCTCTGAGCTCTCCTCCAGTGCTGACACCAGGTCATGGACCAGTTCGTCCATCGTCCGGCGAAAGTGCCTGAAGGGGAGGACAGAACGTGTACTTTTAAATATGGGCCACAACTAAAGAATGCAACTGTTGTTTTATTGGGCAAAAACCAGTGTGTGCAGGGCGGTTATGGGTGCTACGAGAATACTTGTTGGAGCTGAAGGCCGTAAAAAAAAAAGTGTGAGAATCCAAGTAGACATGATTTGGAAGTTGCCATTGGTGGAGGAAGCGACTGGCAAGTGTAGGACCGTCTGTCTCAAAACAGACCTCAATGCAAGCGCCGTAACGTTAACTAGCTTAACTGTAGAGCTGGCCAACTGACGTTACCAGCGTTAGCCCGGTAATTATTTATTCACATATTACACATTATTCGTGTCCTTTCGTCGAGTAAAGTTAAAGCCAACACCCGATTAGTTCATTGCTTAATACTTACGCTAATAAATCTCCCAAATGTCTAATTAAGAGCCCGGGATGTCGTTTGCAATCTCATCTGATATTCACACTGGCACGAGCCTGCTTTAGTTAGCGATTTTGGTTGTTATTAGCTTCATAAGCTAATGTTTCCTCGGTAGCTAGCTAAGTCCACTACAGTAAACGTCCACCTTTGGTATTTTAAAAGCTGGTTAACTACCGTTAAGCACCAACGTTGATGACAGCGTTAATGTCTGGTAGTTTTAACGACTGTCGCCGAAAAATGAACAACAAAGAAACCCTTTGATATTCAGAGTAGCATTGCTGCTAGCCAGCTAACCTAGCTAGCTTCAGCCCTTCAGCCGGCTGATTCACGAGAGTGGAGTGGACGTGAACAATATGTTACGTCTGAGTGATTTCAAAGACCACCTACCAGCCGGTTCCCGCTTTGCCGATGGTTTTTAAATTAGCTGCACGGAACATTAAAACCGCCAAATGCCAAATACCTTTAGCCAGAAACAACGGACAAACATTGACACACCATAGACACCATCCTGACACAAAAGCTAACGATCAGCTAGCTGGATCAATATGCGACAAGAGGACACAGTGAAGTACCCTATGCTGCCTTCAAGTACTGAAGGAAATTTTATAATTGGAATTATGACATGAGCTCACAGTCGCATAGCCATGTAATAATAACAATAATAATGTATGTGTACATTATATGTTTTTTGCTTTTTTTGTTCTGCCTAATTTTGTGGTTGCTGTCATTATTTAGGCATTTATTTTATTGCTTATCTTACAACAGTTTTCTTCTCTTCTACACACTATGCAATGGTTATACTGCAACTGCTAACAATGTAATCTTTTCATCACTATACAAAAAATTGGGGTGTATCTGCATGTGGACCAGTCCATAGACATGCAGTAAACGAAACCTGCACCAAACCTTTATTATACCCAAACCTGTATGGAAGGCACCCGACATTTGACATGACAACCGAGCAAACTCCGTCTTCTGATAAAGACCACAGTGAAAACCTCAGATACGGACCTTGAGATAAGACTTAAAAAACAAAACAAAATAACCCAAAAAGCGATCCAAACCCGGCTGTACCGTAAGTCTATAATTAATTTGTTGTTGGTTGATAAAAGATAGACATTGTTTTTCATGGGACATATAACAAAGACAGTGCATTTTGTTTCTATACATATTTGGTTATCAGTACCTACCAAAGACATATTACACTTGGCAATATTAGTGAACCTATCCATTTGTAACTCGGAGTTTAAATGTAGCAAGTGAAGGCAACTCTAGGCCCTCAGTTCCCATTTACCTTTTATTAAACACTGGAGGGCAGTGTAGTCTCAAACTGAATGAGATGGATGCCATGGTTGCAAGCAATTAGCTGGCCTATCAAATATATACCAAAGGTCACCGGTTCAAACACATCAGTGACAACAGTGTCATATTAATTACAGTGGTCACTGGAAGAGACACTGGGTACCAGTGTGACCTGGACTTCACCCCATGCAACAGGTGCTCTGGTCCTGTCTGAATGTCAGTGACGGCACTGCGGTCCACATGGGGTCAACAGCAACAACAGGTGTCACACTCAGTGTGTTAACTAATGAGAAATTTGCACATTGAAAACACTGTCAGACAGCCATTAGGAGTGGGAGCTCTGTGCCAAGGTAATTTGTCGTCTGACTGGTGTGTGATCATGTGTGACTGAGGAAGTCCGCTCAAACTAACATTCTGTCAAACAATCCTTACAGATGACCCCTCCTCAAATTCCTTAGAAGTCAGAGGATCTGGTGGATGATGACCACTCCAGGACCATCTCAGGTTTCTGACCCGGGGTTCCAGGTAAATTTAGTAAGACGCTGCCCACTTGCACACAGCAGTCAGACACTTGACATGCATCGATACTGAAGGCACAACTTCTAGACTGCACCAGACTTGTGGAGTTTCATACATACACATCTTCTGAGCCGTCACAAAAGACCAGAGATCTACAACTAGGATCAAACACATTATGGAATCATGATATCAGCAGAGGATGATGAAGAGTTAGATGAGACTGTTGAGGAGTATACCACTGACACCACCTGGAGCTGGGTAAAGTGATTTGTAAATCATCTGCATGTGTGGAAGAAAAACAAATGCATGAATTATGGGTAAAAGAGAGTACACCTTGATGAACCGTGGATGTAAAGGTGAAAATGTGAAGGATTATGCTTTTACATGCATCTAGTTTACAGCAAGAATGGAGTGACATGAGGAAGAACACAGTGCGTCTGGATACATGTTTGCATGTTTGTGTCCTGTCTTTAGTCTGTGACAGAGCAAACCTAAAGACAGAAGTTTGAGTCATTCAATATTTGTCTTCTCTTTTCATTCAAGCTTAACATGAATAACATATTAGAGACAACATATTAAAGTCCTGTAACTGGTTCCTAGAACAGAGACAGTGTGACCTGGGGTGTGTGTTTCAGTAATCCCCACTGTAAGACGATCTGCTCCGACTGAAACTTGGGAAGGAGAAGGGGCTACCCTGGATGAAAACAACACATTTATCATAAAGATGACAGCTTGCAACTCAGACTCGTTAGTCTCATTAGGTGAGGTAAACTCTGAGATATCTAACAGCAAATGTTTTCAACTACATGTATTTGCGAGTCTAATGTATATTGGGACATTTATTTTTGAGAATTTTGTAATAGAAAGGTCACACAATCAATGAGCTTCTGATTTGATGTGGTATGAAATAGGGTCTCTGTCTGAATGCAAACTACCCCTAAAATATAGTGGATGCTTACAATTCTATGTGAACTACATCTGTTTTGAATCTTGATTTAATAAGAATGTCCTGTTTCACAAGATGACTGTTTCACAGTCAACAGCTATAAATCAACAATATTCTTATTATGCCCAAAAGGACGTTTCGCTAGCACTCATTATCTCACTAATTAGGGACAAAGAGTTTTTTACTTTTAATCTCTGTATCAGAGCTTGGCCAGCTAATGTTTCTGTCAGATCTTATGACTCTCAGGCCAGAACAGCCTGAGCCAATCAGAGGCTTTGATATCAACCAAGTGTGTAAAAAGATTGTGCAATGAATTTGTTAAAGCAACATGCCCTTGTTGAGTCACCTGAAATGATATCTGTACAGAATGACTAGTAGTTGATTAACTGTTTTTGCCGGAATATTGTGAGGTGTTGGTCAAGTTTGTGGTGTAATCAGTCAGGGTCCTGTCATTGCATTAAGTATATTAAAGTGTATGAAAAGTTTAGTGACAGAGCAACTTGGAATTAGGCAATGAATATCAAACGGTGGTTAAATGTAGTGAGTTGTTGGCTGGTTGGACAGTGTGGTTGTGTACAGAAACTAATGTTTCCTCCCCAAAAGGCTTAAAATATCATTATGACATTACTATTGTAATATATATGTAAGTGTGTAGAGTAATCAAATTGTTGCTCTACTATAATGTGATTAGTGCAAAGGAGGCAGTCAGCTCACAGCTACAAATGCATATAAAAGAAGTCAAACTGAAGATATTTTAGAGCTCTGAATGAAAACATTTTTGAGCCTTCTTGCTTATAAATGTTGCGGAGTGGTTCACTGACATGGTCATGTGTTAACATGTTTCTTGTAGTCTGATACTGGTCATACCACTGACCATACATGTTAAAAATGAGACTGCCATCATGAGCTGGTTTGTGCCCAGAGTATATTGGCTGAGTGAAATGTCCTGGCAAGGCATTTTGTTCTTAGAAACATGTCAGTGAGGGCAGCTGTGTGGCTCATGTATCCTTGGAGAATCCAGTGACACTGACACGAAGACTGCTGCAGGGACAGTCTGTATATGTAGCAGAGCCAGTATAGTACTTAAATATTATGGTATGCTGTGACAGACTGGCAACATGTCCAGGGTGTACCCCGCCCTCGCCCTATGTCAGCTGGGATTGGCCCTGTTACCCTAAAAAAAGGATAAGCAATGTGGTATAGTATATTATGTAGTATATTATGGCATATTATGGCTAATTATTAAAGGATTGTTTGTGTATTTTTAGTATTTTAGTATTTTTTTTAAGTGTTATTATGTTGCTATGTCAATGTAACTTTCACAGTTAACATCTTTCACATTTACGAGTTGTTTTGAACAACAGCTACAGAGAGGAGAAGAGATTCCTTACAAAATATTTCCTCCATCATTTATATTTTAAATTTCCAATGAGGAAACAATGCTCAGTATATGAGTATGAGGGAGAAGTTTCTAGAGCAAACTTCATACTGTATCTCACAAGAAAAGCCTCAGTTTAAACAAGTCTGATGGAAAAAAATAGAAACCATGTGATAGTACATGTTAAATAACTTGTTATGCAGTAAAATTCCAAAAAAACTATTCCAACAATCTTCCCATTCATAAAACCGTTTAATGTCAGCTGAGATTGCAGGTTACTGCAGGGTCAGCAGTTTAACGAGACAATGATCTCAGGCAAAAAAAATGGTACTGAACATACTTAACATAATGAAAATACCAGATAATAAACCACAAAACATACACTCAGTGCAGCACAAGATGAGACAGAAGTTGTGACACTGTACAATGTGACATGGTGACATGCACTGCTTGTAACACAACAATTTATCAACCTGGAAACTAGTTCAAATTCATGAATGGAACGTGCCTTTGCCTTTGTTATCTTGTTGCTTTTTTCTCCCCTAAATTCAAAACAGTTTCATCTGGCACAACAGTATCAACATTTCGGAAGTACACAAGAGTCCCGAGATATAAAAACACACAGGCCTCAGAGTTTTTAGACTGTGATGGAAAAACAAAGACATGCATTCCTCCTCAACTGGTTTAGCCCAGAAAGACTACTTCACAGTCTGGAAAAGCAATTAGTATGCATGCACACACACACACACACACACACACACACACACACACACACACACACACACACACACACACACTCACACCCATTGAATTGGCACGTATTGTAGAAGAGTTGCACGTGAGGCTGCTGCAACGTGTAGTCTAACAAATGTTTGGGCTGTTGCCAGGTGTGCCTCCATGAAGAGAAAGATATCTAGTTGTATTCCCTAGTCCCTTACCCAAACTTTAACTATCACAAATAAATGCTTAACCCTAAACCTAAATCTAATCTTAACAAAACCAACTCTTCACCCTCAAACAATCTTTTGAAGTTTTGAGGACCAGCCAAAATGTCCTCACAATGAAGCTTTCAAACCAAAATCTGTCCACACAACCCTAGAAAAACATGTACATACTCACACACAAAAAGAGAGAGAGAGAGAGATCCACATATGGATGCGTTAGGGGGGGGTCTACTTCAGGTTAATGTAGTCTGTTAAATGTCTGTGTGTGTAAGTGAGTGGCTGATTAAATGTCTGGTTTTGCTGCTGTCTGCCTCTGCATAAAAGCACCACCAATCAACCACATCCTCCTGAAACACAGTTTCACTGCAGGTTCTCAGGCTACAACTGCTAACATCGCATGTGCCACCAGACAGAGCTGTGATTGGCCAGAAAGATCACCTCACTGCATCACACTGACTCGGTGACTTCAAACGCTGACGCAGCCCCACCATTTCCCGCCGTCATAACGGTGTAGCCTATAGCTGCTGGATATAATTTCCCTCTGTGCTCTTTAAACCGAGACACTGTAGCTTGTTATGGTTGTATGTATCATTTAACTCACATGTCGTATATAGTTTTCACTCGTAAAACATGAAGCATATATTTCTATTTTATAGGGTAATTTTTAAATTGTACTAATCATTTTAGTTCGTTAACTTTTATATATCTAGTGACACTTCAGTGCGCCGTAATGAAAACAGCACAAAATTAGAGTTATGTCGAGGCTCTATCCACATAAAATGATAGACACGAGCCATAAAACACAATAAAAGCAACGTACATTTTGAGAATACCAACTTTGACCCAGTTAATTGTCCACAACAATGTAAGTAAATGGCTGTTATTTTGTTGCCACTGTGGCAGCTGAAACAAGTGGAAACCTACGAGAGCTGAAACGATGTATTTGGCAACTCATCAGCTCAACGCTGATTGGTCAGCAGGCGGGTTTGCGCTGCAGGTGATGTCAGCCACTGACAAGAGTCCCCGAGAGAGAGCGAGAGAGAGAGAGAGGGGAGACGAACAGACAGTGGGAGAAATGATTGTCGACTTCCTTTAAATAGTCAGTTTTTTTGACGCTGTAAGTCGATGACAGCAAGTCAGGGTTATATCACAGACTTAGACATCACCTCTACCGGGAAATTATTCTTCTATTATGTCTTGTGCTGTTATACGCTGCTGAGGAAACGCCAGTCTCTGTGTGTTGGTAAAGACTGTCAGCATATTCAGCTTTAAAAGGTAGGAGCCTATATTTACAATGTATTTAACTGCACCTACCTGTTTAATGATATGGATGATTAATTGACTTAATCTGCTCTGTATTTCTCACAGCTGTTGTGATCAATACTGTGTCCTTGTAGTCATTAATCATTTATCATTCATCACTAACATTTTCCATTACTACTGTCAGGATGTTATGAGTCAGCAGTTCACCTAAATATATTTGATTCTGAAATGTATTTCCCTTTAAACTTGTGATTGGGAAAACTGGAGCTGAATGGTTGATACTGTCAGACACATGTATTGTCTTGTGTATATTTTTTTTTAAATGAAACTGATCATTCATCACTTACATCTTCCACCTCCAAGCATGGGCTTTTATTTTCTTAAATAATTAGGTGGCATGTAAATTATATTTTGTGAGGCATTTGGATTATGTCTGTAGTAATATGGGACTAAAAAGACTTGACAATGAGTGGAAAAGAAAGACTCTGTCCATACTTGCAACACATTATCTGCTGAGTGGCCCAGCCAGATTCCAGCCTGCTAGGAAATCTTCACAACTGCCGCTTGTAAATCCATTAAAGTAATGAGCATACCAAAGTTAAACACTGGCTTTAAAAAAAAAAGGTTTTCTCACAGGATCAGTTAAGTTGGACTGTAAATATAGGCTAACTATTAATCACTAAGTCATAAGTAATTTTTCAACGCAAGCACTGCTGTCAGTGTTTTGAGACATGGTTCCTCTTTTTTGTCTCAGCTGCAACGCAAGTCTATTTTTGGATGAAGGCAGTATGTAGCATTGTTTCACACCAAAAGTCCTCTGCTGAGGAAATCAGCTGGGGTTGCTGGAAGCTTAGTAGCTCAATGCCTCTGTGAAAAGTGCAGTTAATAATTTAATACAGTGAAGGTCATCCATAAGAGGTATTTGAAGATTCAGACATGCTTGTGGCTTCTCAGATTAATGCTCTAAAATTAGGGCTCCTGGTTTTCTGTGAGGGGCCTCTTCTCCTGGTCACATGTACCCAAAAGGGGGGGGGGCGGGGGGGGGTTGGCATTGTTCCAAGCCTGTCTTCCCTGGCTGGTGCTGCAATCATTTTTGGGGCCCACTGCCAACTGAAGGCCAGCCCCCTTCCTTGTTTTAGGCAAGAGTTTTGAAAGCTATACAATTGGGATTCATCACATTTGACCATTGGTGTTTGCATCACAGAAACCTAAATCGTCTAGTCACTATCCGGTGCCAGCAAAGATAAGGTTGAATGGACATGATTTGATCTTGATTTAATTAAACCCTCACCTTCTTTCGCTTACTGTGTGCTCATAATACTAAACATAATACATTTAACTCTTTAGCTATCTGCATGATATCTTATACATACGTTTTTTTTTTTCAGTTGTTTGTTTTATAGTGGAACTGCCACAGATAATTAGTGCAGAAATGTTATTATTTCAGAAGTAGAGACTGGTACTTTAACACAAGATTACAGGATACTAGAATAAACAAGTTAGGGATTGAATCTATGTGCCTATATCGAATGATGTGTGGAGATATATTAGTATGTCTTTCAGGCATATACAAGGGCCAGTGTATGTGGCAAAATAACATAAACAACAATGGAAGTCAATTTTACAACTAAGGGGAATATGTTTGCATGATTTAAAGTTTTGGAAAAGTATTTCGCCATCGGCTAATCTACTTTCTCATGACTAACTTCCACTTAAAACCAGTGAAACATAAAGACAGTTACAGAAATCTTTAACATAAAATAACCAAAATCCCTTTAACTTTGACAGAAAATTGTGTGTTCACTATAGATGCGATCACTCATAGTAAGAAGAGTATGTTTTCAGCAGCTTCAAGGACTGAACTATGATGAAAAAAACAGAAATGTGATCACATCGCTAATATCTTATGTTACTGTGCTGCTATCATCAGTCCAGAAACAAATACTGTGTACGGTGTTTGAATAACACAGACTGACTAAAGACGTCTATGGGTGTGAGAGAACGATGCAAAGACGAACAAAATTCAAGAACGATCAACATACTAATGCCCACTCTGAGTCAAGCACTGACATAACAGTATGCATTTCCTTCAAAAGATATTTGCATTGTTGACATTCACAATGTTCCTCACATGTCTCAGAAATAACTGCTTAGATGTTCTTGATCTCATGACACCCTAGTTTAGTTCAGCACCACCTTCACTGGATGAGTACTGGCTGGTCTAACTTGGTCTGTCCTTTGACCTCTGGTGTCTGGGGTAGCTGAATGGAAAACAGTTGGATGGGATATCCAGACTTATCAGGAGGGGTGGGAAGGTCAAAGTGGCAACAGGTTCTTTTTACAGTATGTAGGCCACAGACTGCCCTGGGAGAAATTACAAGAGTGCTGAACAGGAACCAGCCACTATGCCCTCTTTCCTAAGCCATGTGAATCATAGCTCTGCTCAAAAACTGATTTCCAGTGAAGGACATTCATGTCATCAGTGGTTTGATTGACAGACTGAAGAATGGCACAGCAGGTCCTGGATCATAAACACCTCCCTCTATGAAGGTTGACTGAGTTCAAGGCACAGTTATGTCCAGTGTTATGGAGCTTAGTGATCACGACTGGGTGATTTAAGTTGCAAATTTAGACCTATTGGTATGGATGTAGTTTATAGTTTTAATGCTAAGTCATTTCTTTTGTCCTGTCTTGTCCCTCTCTCGTCTTCCCTTCCATCAGACCCGTCAGACCATGAACTACGTGGGCCAGTTGGCGGGCCAGGTGTTTGTCCAGGTCAAAGAGCTGTACCGAGGCCTCAATCCTGCCACCCTTTCTGGCTGCATTGATGTCATTGTAGTGAGACAGCCCGATGGCTCCCTGCAGTGCTCGCCCTTCCATGTTCGCTTCGGCAAGATGGGCGTCCTCCGGTCCCGAGAGAAAGTGGTAAGGAGATAAAAACAAGGAATCTTTCTTTAAGGTAAAAGTTAAATGTCCTGGTTTGTTCAGCTCTTAAACTCTTGTCTCTGCTCCTCTTCTCTCTCCTCCAGGTGGACATGGAGATCAATGGAGAGCCAGTGGATCTACATATGAAGCTCGGGGACAATGGAGAGGCATTCTTTGTGAAAGAAACAGAAAACGATCAGGTACAAAGAACTTTACTTTTCCTTAGGTAGCGGTAGCTGTAATGGTGGGTAATGGAAGTGCTTTGGAAAATGGTTAAGAGTGTTATATTCGTCATAATTCAAATAATACAACACGTCAGTGGCGCACAATCAAATGAAAACAAGATTCAAATGAAAACACACATCATTCTCCACCCCTTTGTAGGTCCTGAAACCAAGACACACCCATGTTTACAACCGAGACTCATTATCCAAACTATCTTTCTCCTTCACAGTTATAGTAGTTTGAACAAGGTCACGCTGTGTGCAGAGTTGGCACAGCAGCCAGGAATTTCTTCCTTTCCTTTCTGGCTGAACAGCAATCCTCTGTTCATTAGCAAGCGAAAGTCCTGAATGCAGCACTTACTAACCCAGGGTTTCTGACCCATATTAAGCACTGTGGCCTTAAGATTGAGGGTATACCTGGAGTGGAGGAACCTGGCAAAGGAATATGCTCATAGAAAATTTAAGTGGAACTCGTGCATTCGTGAATTTGGCTTAACTATTAGAGCAATAGTTAAAGGTTGACGAGTTAAATAGATGAAGTCAGAAATCCTCCGTTCTTTGTATTTTTACTTCCAGTTTTTGTGTTTATGAAGCCAGTGAAAACTATTCAAAACTCAGTTTAGAATTCGTGGAAAACAGTGGAACAGGCCTTTTCTAAACAGTTCTTGGAAAGCTGGCGTTTTCACTGTTTTCATTTAGTTGTCCAAGATTTTGAGTTGCAGATGTAAAGAACCACGTTGGACTCACTGCCATGATGAAACGTTTTTCTGCCGTTCTATGCACATGAGGATGTGTGCAGCCCAAAGACATAAACAAGCAGTGAACTACTGTGGCTGGGAGCTGGCTCCAACAAGGGAAATGGGTGATTTATTCTCCCCAGAGTGGTGTCAGATTCCGAGGCCTGGAAGAGAAAGGAGGGGTGGAGGACTGTGTCTGAACCCTTTTTCTTGGCACAGGGAAGCAAAACGTGAGGGAGTATTGTCAGACCACAAATCATTTGGTTATACTTCATTTTTTTCCTCCCCTGTCGCTTTCTTTTTCTCTCTCTCTTTCCATATGTCTGCACACACACATTTATACTCCCCCGCCTTGACAGCAGGAGACTCTCCTGGAAAGCTTTTTCCTTTCCTAGAAGGAGGGAATATAAAAAAAGAGTGTGTCCTTCTACAGAGAAAAGGATTGTGAGGAGCTGTTTTGTATTGGCTGTTTCGTTTTGCCGGCAAACAATAGAGAGATTTCTTGCTAACAGTTTGGCAGTGATTCTACACATGTGCCTCAGACCACAACAGTGCAACACTAAAAGGGGACTCATGTTTCAGTGGGAGTTGTTCCGAAATTTAAAATCTAGTTTTAACTTCTTTGCAAAAAGAGAATACATGCCAGAGAAGATGCTTTAGTTGTAGAGTTTTGTTGTTCAGTGTGTGTGTGTGTGTGTGTGTGTCAGTGTCTGACATTAATGCTAAAGATAATATCAGTGGATGTGTTCCAAATAGCAAACTGCATACAACTGCACAAATGGCTATGTGTTGCAACAACATTTAATGTTAGCTTAATACTTCAGGATTTACAGTATATATTACAGTAAAACAGCAGATTTACTCGCAAGGTCCATATGCATTTTAAAGAAATCACTCATTGTTTCACTTCTGTTTCTCGTCTTAACAGGAAGTGGTTCCCTCCTACCTGGCCACCTCTCCGATCCTGTCAGACGGGGCCGCTCTGATGAGCTCTTGTCTGATGGGGAAGAGCTCTGGGCCACCCATACAGACCCTGGGCTCAACGGGGAGCAACGGAGAGACCGGCGGCGGAATGTTGAAGAAGAGGAGGAAGAGGAGGAGGAAGGCTCGGGCGGACAGCGTGAGGAGGGAGGAGAGCGGGGACTACTCCGAAGACGAAGACATGTTCACCATAGACATCAGCTCCGATGAAGGGACGGAGATGGAGAGCAGCAACAGGTGAGAAAGAGTAAAAAGAGAGGAGAGGAAGGAAGAATGGGGGAAGGGGTTGATAGGAGGGATAACGAATGCTAAAAGAAAGGATGTTGAAAATAAAGTATCCATGTGGAAATAGTGGAAAAGTAATTAAAAACATGTGAGGAGTAAGCAGAGCAAAGCGATACACGTGACAGAGCAAGGGAGGGGGGAAATCCTGGACAGTCAGTCCTTCAGATAAACTACAATACATCACTGAAAGGAGCTTTTACAGCAGCTGTAATGGAACTGGAGTCTGTCAGGCAAGAATAAACACACCGGCATCTGTAGTGCAGAGGCCTCCAGCTGTGGAGCTGGCACATACACACTGATAAGACACTCAAGACCATATGGGAAACTCCATCAGCCCTGTGATTTTTACTGGATATGAAAGAAGAAGCTTTACATGTAAAAAACAGGAAATATCTTCACTCTGTGTGTTTTTGTGAATGAGTGCATGTTTACCTCTGTTTACACACATGTGCATACAGTATGCTGCTGCCACAGTGTAACTTGACCTCTGGAGTGCAGCAGAGTATTGGATCCAAAACAGTTTAGCATGCCCAGTATGCAGGGCAGGTGTGTAGCTGTAGGAGTTGTACTGTATGTTGTTGCCGTTATTAGTCGACCTACCATGAATGCATCCAGCAGCAGTTGTAAATATGTACCTGGTGACAGATTTATTTTCATCTCTGCACATGTGTAGGAGTCATTACATCTGAATTCTGGCTCATCTCTACTTTACGCGACTGTAAAGCAACACCTGGATGGCTTTTTCATTCATGTACAGTGAATGCAGTTATTGTCTTATGATACATAAGAGTTAGTGTCAGTGTTATTTGCTTTGTTAGTAGAGCAAAAATCTACCTTAGACAATAAACATTTATTAGCTATATACTTTGTATTTATGACTGAATTATAGTATGTTGTTTGGTGGTTATATTTTTATGTAATTTTAACAGTTAACTGACTGAATCACAACTTAACTACGATGAAATTTTATCAAGGATTTTTTTCAGTTGCCTAAAATATCACTGGTAAAGTCTACTGCGGTCTCAGTGGAGCACCCTGAATTGCAGATGTGTTATTTTTTGAGTGCAGATAGAGTGGAACGAGTTCAGGTGTGATCACTGTGGGTCTGGAAAGTTGTTTTGAGAAATGGTTGAAAAGTGGAAGGTGAATTACAGCCCACCGCAACATAAAAGACCCACGCCATTATGAAAATTGTAGATTTAATAGACATATGATGTGTTTGTCTGTGTGTCCGTGTTTCAGGTCTTCATCTCGGGATGTCTTAAGAGAAGAGACAACGGTTGGTTCAACTAGTGGTTCTTACAAACAGGCTGGCATCTACACCCGTTCAGATGGAGAGTGGAGTCCCATCCAGAGGTGTCCAGCTCACACAAATGAAGATCTACACACACCTACATGCTATAATAAACATAAAATAAACAGATCTATAAATGTTGTGGGTCATCTCTTCCTTTCTCAGCCCCGGACACTCTCGTCCCACCTCTCCCAAGAGTGACTCTGAACTGATGACCAAGCCGTCAGACACAGACAACCAGAATCCGGCCATGCACTGGGCGTGGGGGGAGCTGCCACAGGCTGCCACGGTAACCAAGTTGTCCAGTATGCAAACATCCACGCAAAGAATGACTGTGTAGTTTGGGTGTGTTAAAGTTAGTCCTTGCTGCAGCATATCATACCATCATCATCCTTTTCCTTGTTTCTCTAGCCGTCCTTCCTCCCAGTAAAATCTGACTCTCCACCAGTGTGCCCTGTATCCATCCCCGTGTCTGAAAGCACACATTTCCGTGTGATTACTCATGAGACGTCTTCAGAACAGTGCGGACCCTGTTCTGAAATATCAGCACTCAGACTGCTGATGTCAGACGACACCATAGTCACAGGAGAAACGGTCGTCACAGTCGGGATGGAGTCTGCGAGGATGGAGTCCCAGACAATAACCTCAGAGACACAGGTTACAGCAGCGGGAAGAATGGCGGCTCGTATGATGGCCGACATGGAGGAGACAATGTCGCGTCCACTTGGCAAGACTGACTCTCCATCCAAGAGAAAAGGTAACATTTAAAGGGCAGTTGACTCAGTAACACAATAAAACACTTAATCTATCAGTTCATTTGCTGAGGTTTTAAGCAGTCAGCTGTGTCACAGCTCAAGGCCATTTGACCTGTAATATTAAAATCACCAAAAAATTACATTATGAAGGTCTTTCTAAATATAATAGTAGTTACTCATGACTACCCCAACCCAATATGGTGCTGCTGCGATTTTAAGAATGCAATAAAAGCAGTTTTTCTACCTGGTGTTTTTAATTGACAAGATAGATCAGATTATTCCCATCACTGAGTCGCAACCAGCCTGTCAAATGATTCTCTCTTTGATAAAACAAACAGAAAAGCAAATTCTTAGAAGCTGAAAAATGATTTCAACTGACTGTTTTTCTCCGTTGCAGACAAGAGAAGTCGCCATCTTGGTTCTGATGGGATTTACCTGGATGACATCACAGAGCTCGAGCCTGAAGTGGCAGCCCTTTATTTCCCTAAGAGGTACGTGGACACACGCATACACACCGAATCATAACTTGTTGCAATGATAACTCTGAGCTGTGCAAAGTTATTTGAGAGTTTATTACGCGATCTGATAAACACGCCTCCTCTCCTCTGTAGCGATGGCGGCGCAGCGGTGAGGAGCATCTCGGACCCGGGCCTCCACAGCACCAGCCTGTCCCCGCAGTCGGTCAGCTCAGGAGGAGACAGCGGAGTGGACAGCTACTGTGACCCCATGTCTGACTTGCCGTCTATCGCCATCTCTCTGTGCGGGGGACTCAATGACAACAGGGAGATCACTAAAGGTGAGATACTCATACTGAAGTAGCCGGATGTCACGCACTGCAGTGTCAGCTGTGGCAAAGGGACAATGAACACGAAATATTCGTGTGTGTCTTTACAGAGCAGTTCCATGAGAAGATCATCTCCTACCAGCAGTTCTCAGAGAACCCCTCCATCATCGATGACCCCAACTTAGTTGTAAAAATCGGCTCCAAGTAAGACATCCCCACTTGCTCGAGTAAAAAAAAAGTTGTTTTTTTTTTGCAGCATTTATGAAATGATATAAATATATTGTGTTTTCTCCCTCAGGTACTATAATTGGAGCACTGCGGCTCCTCTTATGCTGGCTATGCAAGCCTTTCAGAAACCTCTGCCAAAGGTAAGCAATTGATACACACACACACACACACACACACACACACACACGCACACACACACACACACACACACACACACGCATACGCACACGCACACAGCACAGATACTAATGACTCAGGCCGTAGGTTGGCTGTATTACTTGAATACCATTCCACCTTTTTGGCTGATACTGGCTCTGCATCCCGATTCTCTATACACACACCTCTACTCATCTATACGTCATGTTGATTAATATCCAGTGTTCAATCTATAGCCTGAAACCCCGCATCTTAAATGTTCTGTTATTGTAACCTCAGACAGACAAACAACCACTGAATCTGTTCTATTTGGGCACTCAGGTTAAACTTTGTCTTCCCCTCTGTTCTCCCTCCCTCTTATTATACCACTCCCTCTTTCTTCGCTCCATCATTACATCCCTTCATCCATTAGTCCTCTTGTCTTTCTTATATTCACTCAGCTTTGGAGTTCCTTCTCTGTTGCCTGACTGGTGTGCTGGGCTACAGCTCTGTATGTCAGAAACAGCACCCCCTTTTTTTCTTATCTGATTTACGTTCTCTACCTTCCTTATTCTCTTGTCCCCGCCAGTTACCACCCACACACTCAAACACACACACACACACACACACCCACATGCTTTCTCTCACGCCGCCACTTTATTTTCCTCATTCCAGTCACAGACACATTGTTTTTTCTGTGTTTGTTGATTTATGGTCTGGTTTCAGTTTTTTTAAGTGTGTTTTTACGGTGTTGTGTTGTGGTTGTTTGGGGTTGTGTGTGCTCTGCTCCAGGCTGCAGTGGAAAACATCATGAAGGAGAAAATGCCAAAGAAAGGAGGGAGGTGGTGGTTCTCCTGGAGAGGCAGAAACAACAGCACCAAATCGGTAATTTCTACATTTCTGTTGATAAAGTAAAAGTTTCTCTTTTCTCAGTCTATATATTGTAAATTACCAACAAATCACTGTCGCTATTGCAGGAAATGAAAAATGCATATTGAGAGACCTACCTGACACTGGGATTATTACTTCTTTAACAGTTTTACATGTCATTATAAATAAATGAGTGGGTGCAGATTAACACTGTTTCTTCTCTTGTAGGTTTCAGTCTCTGAGTGTGGGGCCTGTGGCTCTGCTGAGCAAGATGGGAAAATGTCAAGCAGGTAAGAAACCTAAAAACATTCCTGGATGAAAACAAATATCATTGCCACGGACTAAACATCCTAACTGATTAACTGTTAATCTGTCTGAAAACAGGCATAAGGAAGAATCGTCCTCAAGTGATGAAGACCACAGAGCAGCCAACCAGAGCTCTCCCACCGTCCAATCAGAGCCTGGGCTCGTATCAGGAGGCGTGTCTTATAAGAAAACACTACGACTGACATCAGAGCAGCTGGTGAGGGGTTTGGTTTGAACAGACTCTGAAGTTTGTTAGTTATTATAAGAGTTCTTACGTTCATATATCATTTGTCATTCCCACTCTCTTTCTCTCTCGCCCTTTGTCTCTCTCTCTCTCTCTCTCACACACACACACACACAGATGTCCCTCCAGCTGCAGGATGGTCCTAACGATGTTGTGTTCAGTGTGACCACTCAGTACCAGGGAACTTGTCGCTGTCAGGGAACCATTTACCTCTGGAATTGGGACGACAAGATAATAATCTCAGACATAGATGGAACCATCACCAGGTGAGCGATACATGTGGATACGTTCACATTTGCCTTTATGACACAGCAGAACTTAGTTTGGAGTGAAAATGGATAAATATGGCCACAAATGGCGGCGTCATCTGCAAGCTGTGCTAAATTACTTTTTAATGGCTATTAGGATTCAGTGGAGTGAAATAATCTTTTCACAGCAGTGTCATTTGTCATTTTCATTCACTGTTGATGATGAGGCATTTTTCCATTTTTGTCTAAAGATTAAATACGCAGCTTCCTGCATGCTAAGCTTTACCCTTTGATCTTTCCCCACTGAGATAAATGACATAGAGTGAGCAGATGATCGGCCTGTTCCAGTTCATTTAACTTTTAACCTCCTTTCTCCCTGAAAAGTCTCAGATCTTTTATGCATTTTTTTTTGTCAGGAAAAAAAGATTTTAATAGTATTTTTCATACTAAAGAATGGTCACTCACATGTTCAAATATTACTTGTGTGTTTGTCTCCAGGTCGGACACATTGGGACATATCCTGCCCACGCTGGGGAAAGACTGGACCCACCAGGGCATTGCACACCTCTACCACAAAGTCAGCCAGTAAGCACTAATTTATTAACACACATCTGATTGTTTTTCTTAAGCAAGGACACACTACTACAAGAAATTATACATATGTTACATCATACAGGCTGAAAAGTAAAGAAATTATTTAGAAACATAACTGATGATCACTTTCTGCCTCTCTCTCCATCAGAAATGGTTACAAATTCCTGTACTGCTCAGCTCGAGCTATCGGCATGGCCGACATGACCAGAGGATACCTCCACTGGGTGAATGAGAGAGGAACCATGCTTCCAATGGGCCCCGTCCTCCTGAGCCCCAGCAGCCTCTTCTCAGCTCTGCACAGGTCTCTCATCCACACAAACACACACACGCATGCACACGCACGCACACGCACACGCACACGCACACACACACACACACACACACACACACACACACACACACACACACACATTTCTTTCAGTTAACCTTTCACAGCTCTCTGAGAGTTGAACGTTGTTGTGTTGTGCTGATTGTTGATTGTTGTTAAATCCTTGTGTCTGTGTGTGTGTGTGTGTGTGTGTGTGTGTGTGTGTGTGTGTGTGTGTTTGTGTGTGTGTGTGTCCATGTTCGATAGGGAGGTGATTGAGAAGAAACCAGAGAAGTTCAAGGTGGAGTGTCTCACTGATATCAAGAACCTCTTCTACCCCAACACACAGCCTTTCTATGCAGCGTTTGGCAACAGACCAACGGTACACACACACACACACACACACACACACCTTGTAATCAGTATAATTTATTGCATTTTAATTTGTTGCTTGATGGTGCTCAGTATAAAGAGTTTAGAGTTTTATGATTGAAGATCAAATCCATTAATGCAAAATTTAATGCAAGGCAAAGTTTATATTACATGTATATTATCTCAAACATTAAATCCCTTTTTTTTAACATATATTTATAGGATGTATACTCCTATAAAGAAGTAGGAGTGCCACTGAACAGGATTTTTACAGTTAACCCCAAAGGCGAGCTGGTGCAGGAGCACGCCAAGACCAACATCTCATCGTAAGTCGCTCATCTAATTTACATCATCTCTGCTGCGACAAATATTGCAATTACTTTGGGGAAAATGTTTAATTGTATCCTCCCCTCCTCTCCTCTCTTCAGCTATGCACGTCTGGGTGAGGTGGTGGACCACGTGTTCCCCCTGAAGATGCGAGCCTCCTCCTCAGACTTCCCCTGCTCAGACACCTACAGCCACTTCACATACTGGAGGGAGCAGCTCCCCCGAGTGGACCATCAGGGAACTACACCTCCGCAGACTCCCAGCCCCAGCAGCTGACTGGCTGTGGCCTGCTGAGCGACTCCTAGCGGGCGCAGCAGCGACTGACAGTGCGCTTGAGATGTAGCAGTCATTTGGACAGTGACGGTTTCATGTGTGTGATATGAATTTGTAGGTTTTTGTAATAGATGGAGCACTTTTTTTTTTTTGTGCATAGTAGAGCATTAACCTAGTGCTGCTGTGAATAGTCTTATAACGCACAACATGGATGTAAGCGCACTTTTATCAGAGGAAGGCCTCGGTGGTCATCTGACTAGATGTATGTATATAAGAAATGTAATTTATTCAGGCAGCTTAGCACATATGTTATTTTGGAGTGAGTGTTGACATTATTCCAGCAGCTGGACTTTATATTTATGCACTCAGTTTCATACTATATTTAACAAACAGTGTCTATGGCATCTGTTTAGAAGCGCTTCATACAGAACACAACCATACTGTGCATACTTCAGAAAGCAAGTTACTTCAACTTGTGCCAAATGTAGAATTTATTTTCTTACTCGGAACTGTTTTCTGTTAAGACTGTTATAGCTCGTCAATCAGCAAATAAGTACATGCAGGCTGGTTTTCGGTTATAGCAACATATGTGTTATTATGTTTGAAAGAGATCAGTCTACTCTGTATTGATTATTTAGTACATTTAGTTAAACATGTTACAGAGCACAATGAATGAATGAATGAGCATCTATGTAGCTTTATTAGCTAAAAGGTCTGTTACAAAGAGTTTAAATGAGTATTTATTATTGAGAGAAAGAAGAGAAATTAAAGCACAACCTTTATAAAAGTCATAACCATCAGTTTTCTCTAAAAATCAAAAGCTATCTGTATCCGTGAGAAGATTTGCTGAATCATTTTGTTTTTCTATGCAAGTCACAGTGTGTATGTGTTTGGATCAGAATTTCGTTTCTGTGGTGGCCTTTGTGAAATGTCTTTTAATTTATTGAAAATCTACACAGAAACACATCATGTGACTGTTAATGTGTTCCACTCTCTAAGATTATACTTTGTTACTTCCATTCCTTGTGGAATATCACTTAAAACTCTACTCTGAAAATCCACATCGGACTGGACACATCTTAGAGAGTATAAAAGTGAATGTCTGACCTTTTTCTAAGTTACAGACATTTAAATCCTTTTTTTCTCACAATACCACAGACAATATGAGGTCATTAATGTGAGCTGCTATCATGTGACCCGTATCATTGGCTTTGTTGTGAATAAAAACACCTGAATATTATCATAACGTTACGGTAGGTGTGTATAAGCCTATAGTTTATGAGTGGGTGTGTATATAATGCTTTAACATTGTTATTATTCTTTCCATGAAAGAGCTAAAACGGCCTGAAAGTGTTTTATTTTTGCCTTAACTGTGAACATGATCAATAATTTGCTCATTGACTCCCTCCATGGCCTCTGTTGACCAGCTCACTGTTAAACTGGTGTAATCAAACTCAATAAAAATGCCTTGGTACAGCATTGAGTGTGTGTTAACATCCTTTGACCTCAGTAGAACAACAACGTCTCCTTCACATTCACATTCTCAGGATCCAGTCAGTAGTTGTTCTGGAGCTTTCACTGAGCTCCAGTAAAATCTCCAACTACCTTGAATATCTGTACTTGTATGTCGTCATCCAACACTTCGCTGACACCGGCAGCCACTTGATGCTGGCTGCTGGAGGAGTTTGGTTGAGGCTGCGGGTGCAGATGGAGCAGGTGGAGCGATGCACGGTGACGCTAGGTGCAGGTTTACCTGAGCAGGCCTCATCTTTTCGGCCTCCATTTCATGCTCTAAAATTCATGCTTGTGAATTCTTTGCTCAATTCATGAGCGATACATAAAATTATTTGCAATTAATTTGGCTCACACTGCAGTTAATTTGATTGCAATTAGATTTTCATCATTAACATTTGACACCAATCCTTGGAAAAAAGAGAGAAGATTTACTGATATGATCCATGAATAGCACAGAAGGGAAATTGTGCACTAGATGTACAATTAATTAATGGTTATGTGATAATAATTAGTTCATCTCTATACAAGTGACAAGATTTTCTTTCAATTATTTTAGGCCCACAAGCGTGCCGTGTGCAAAGAGTGCTGGAATAAATACTGAATCGGAAATGTACTAGTACATCATATACAATGTATGAGCATGTGCATGTCAATATACAGTATATTCATGCACTTTTCCACAAGTAGCTAAACTCAGCTGTTCTCAGTTCCACTTTGCTCCATATCCTACCACGCACATTAGTGTAGGGGTTATTAGAGGGCAAAGGGGCTGCACGTTACAATATGCGGGAGGAGTTTCCAAAATCCAGCGACACCATTGGCCTGGGCCCCAGGGTGCTGCACCGTAACGCAGGGTGCATCGAAGGACTCTTTCGAATACGGAAAGCGAAAGTCAATGAGGAAAACCGTCTGCACCTGCGAGGGCTTTGTTTGTTCCTGCACGGAATGACTCACGCGGTAAGAGACCTCTCAGTTTCCTTTGGAAATGTGTGTGTTTTCATCCACAACACTTATCTCGACACTTCAGTCCAGCTTCCACCCCCCCGAGCACGAGCTTCTCAGCTTTAAAAGTTAACGTTGACTATAAATTAAAAAGTGTACGGAGCTAAGGACGAGACTGACTGAGCCAAACACATCGGATCATGTCCTGTACGTTGTCGGTCTCCAAGCTGGGGTCTCATTGAGTAACAGATCTGTCCAGTAGAGCTGAGATGTATAAGCTGCTCTAACTAATGTTTGTAAGTAGATGTTGCTTAATAGCCACCAACTAGCATTAGGAGGTCAGAGTACAAAACAGAGATTGCTGATAATGAATCATTGTGTTGTTTTCGTTCTTAACTGGATAAAGACCGTCATGTTTTCATATTATAAAATATGTATAAAATGCAGTGTTTTAAGTTCAATTTCCTATTTAAAATTCTTATACTTACTTTCTACTCATTGAAAAGAATTCCACAATGATTAAACAAATATTTTTTAAATTCAAAAGTTTTAACTGCTGGACACAAGATGTCTCATACTTCACTGAGAAGTTCATCCTCCACAGTGTATCCTGGAGGCTTCAATTTTCCTACATCACACTTGTGTAAGTTGTGTATCGGACCACAGCTGGCTCCCACTTGTGGTGTCAAAAAGTCAGCTTTCTGTCTACAACCTCTGGCAAAAATGATGGAATCACCTATCTTGGAGGATGTTCATTAAATTGTTTAATTTTATTGGAAAAAAGCAAATCACAGACATGCCACAAAACTATCATTATTTAAAATGCCAACCTTCTGGCTTTAGCAACAATAAAAAAAGAAAGGAAGAAAATTGTTGTCAGTCACAATTGCTTTTTTAGATCAAGCAGAGGAAAAAAATATGGAATCACCCTGTAATTTGCAGTTCGAAAACAAACACCTGCATCAGATTAAATCTGCTAATTAGTCTGCAGTTAAAAAAGAGTGCTCACACCTTGGGGAGCTGTTGCACCAAGCGGATTGACATGAATCACGGCTCCAACATGAGATGTCAGCTGAAACAAAGGAGAGGATTATGAAACTTCTTCAAGAAGGTAAATCATCATGGAATATTGCAAAAGATGTTGGTTGTTTCCAGTCAGCTGTGTCCAAAATCTGGACCAAGTACAAACAAAATGGGAAGGTTGTAAAAGGGAAGCATACTGGTAGACCAAGGAAGACATCAAAGCGTCAAGATAGAAAACTTAAAGCAATATGCCTTGAAAACAGAAAAATGCACAACAAAACAAATGAGGATTAAATGGGCGGAAACTGGAGTCAATGTCTGTGACCGAACTGTAAGAACTCGCCTAAAGGAAATGGGATTTACATACAGAAAAGCCAAACGAAAGCCATCAAACACACCTAAACAGAAAAGAACAAGGTTACAGTGGGCTAAAGAAAAGCATTCATGGACTGTGGATGACTGGATGAAAGTCGTATTCCAGTGATGAATCGTGAATCTGCATTGGGCAAGGTGATGACGCTGGAACTTTTGTTTGTTGCCGTTCTAGTGAAATTTACGAAGACGACTGCCTGAAGAAAACATGCAAATTTCCACAGTCATTGATGATATGGAGCTGCATGTCGGGTAAAGGCACGAGGGAGATGGCAGTCATTACATCTTCAATAAATGCACACGTTTACATTGAAATTTTGGACACTTTTCTTATTCCATCATTTGAAAGGATATTTGGTGATGACATCATTTTTCAAGATGATAATGCATCTTGCCGTAGGGCAAAAGACGTGAAAACTTTCCTTCAAGAAAGATATATAATGGCATGACCTGGAAATAGCCCGGATCTCAATCCAATTGAAAATCTATGGTGGAAATTGAAGAAAATGGTCCATGACAAGGCTCCAACCTGCAAAGCTGATCTGGTAACAGCAATAAGAGACAGTTGGAGCCGGATTGATGAAGAATACTGTTTGTCAATAGTCAAGTCCATGCCTCAGAGAATTCAAGCTGTTATAGAAGCCAGAGGTGGTGCAACAAAGTACTAATGGTTTAGTGTTTTTCTCATGATTCCATAATATTTTCCTCAGAATTGAGTGATTCCATATTTATTTCCTCTGCTTGATCTTAAAAAAAAAAAAAAAAAAGCCAATGTGACTGACTATGACACTTGTCTGTCTTTCTTTTTTTTTTTTTAATGTTTCTTAAAGCCAGAAGGTTGGCATTTTGAATAATGATAGTTTTGTGGCATGTCTGTGATTAGTTTTTTGTTTTTTTTCTACATCCTTCAAGAGTGATGATTCCATAATTTTTGCCAGGGGTTGTATATGACTTTAGGTACTGGGTTACCTACAGCAGCTATTAACTTCCCATATTATTTTCTCTTTCTTTCTTTCTTTCTTTCTTTCTTTCTTTCTTTCTTCCTTCCTTCCCGAGACAATCTATAAATCGCCACGTTTCGATTCCATCCAGTTCTTTTCCTATGGAAGGTGTCAAACATCAGCCTTAACTTTAACATTAGCACGGCTACTTTCTCCAGTATAGGGATTCAGGCAGGGCAGGCCTGAAAAATGAGGACTTTGTGGACATATTGGAGGAGAGGCGGCGCAGCAGTGATCTTGGCCATGCCCTCAGGAGCTTTAACCCCCACCCCTACCAGGGAGCTCCACCCTGCTCCACGGCTGAACTCAACAAAGCCGTGCTGGAGTCCCAGTATCTACGCTATGTAACCAAAGAGGTGAGACTGTGTGATTGAAAACAAAATGTTACAATGAAATTTCACCGTGCAACTTAATCAGCATGGGGTCAGTCTTCTCCCTGCATCCTTCTTCAGATCGCCATGGAGACGGGGTCATCGGTGGAGGAGGTGCAAGAGGAGGCTTGTGGGATTATGGAGGAAATGTCTCAAAACCTGCAGCTGGGGTTTATCAGGCTGATGGGCTACACACTAACCAAGGTGCTCAAGAGGCTCTTCACCAGCGTCTTTGTCAACATGGAAGGCCTCAACACGGTCAGGACCCATTAAATAATCAGTACTGTGCACTGAAACACCAAACACATACAGCAAAGAGGACTGTCCACTGAAATGTACTGCTGCAAAGTAATTGTTGCTCTACTTGTGTAGGTTTCTGTGAATTAGAGTCCACCCAAAACATTAAACATTGTACTGTATGGTCTCTCTTATACCATATGGTGTCTGGCTGCTGTTAGCAGATACATTGTTGGAGTTTTATTTGCACTGGTTTTGAGATACATCTGCCTCTGACATATGTTTGAGATGTTCAAAGCACATTAATGTTTTTCTTTTCATTTGGCTGAACTGAACCCTTTTTAAGATCAATAAATTAACAGTGGACTGTTAACTAATAATAAATTATGCAGCTCTCAGACAAAGCTTAAATGTTGTTCCCTAATAATTTAATCCAAACCCTTACTTACATTTTCTAAATTACAATTGTATCAAACATGGCCCTCTGACCAACTCATTTTAAAGGCTGATTTTCCCTTCCTAGCTGCAACTTAAAATATGTTTTTATTTATAAAACAATGTGAAGAAGTAATTACCGTCTTGTCTTACCTCATATTAAAGGAATTTTGGGGAAAAATGCTGATTTGTGTGCTTGAGAAAAATGTTACAGCCTGCTTCGTTAGCTTAGCTTAGCACATAGACTAGACGGGAGGAAACGGCTAGCCTGGCCCTGTGTGAAGGTAAGAAAATCCACCTACCAGCAAACCTAAAGTTCACTGATTAAGACATTATATCTCATTTGTTTAATCGGTACAAAAAGTGGAAAAACAACAGACAGAGCCAGACAAGCTGTTTCCCTGTGTTTCCAGTCTTTGTGCTGTGCTAAACTAAGCTAAGCTAGTGGTATCAATCTTTTCCCAAAATGTCAAACTATTCCTTACGTACAGGTTTATGAGGACTGAGATTAAAGGTGGATTACTTTGCATACATTTTGATTCATATATTAAATTAGCTTTGGGTTTTTTTCTTACAACTATCCCAACATGCTGCTGCTGATACTAGTTCTCTTTTTTCTCCCTTAAACTTTCTTTAATTTTTCTGTTGTTGCAGCTCCAACAAGCTATTCAGGAGTCTCCTGTGATCCTGATGCCCAATCACAGGAGTTATGTGGACTTCTTAGTGATCTCCTACATCCTGTTCACCTACGACATCCCTTTACCTGTTATTGCTGCAGGAATTCGCAAGTATCTATTTGATTTAAAGCAGCAGAACATCATAGATGACATGGGGATATATCACAACATCTCAGACGCTCACTTCTCCCTCTCCCTCTGTTCATTTCTCTGTTTCTCCTCCTCCTCCCCTATAAAGCTCTTGCAGGGATGAAGATGGTAGGAGAGATCCTGCGTCGCTCTGGAGCTTTCTTTATCCGACGTGCCATCGGCTCTGACAAACTGTACTGGGCGGTGCTGTCAGAATATGTCAAAACCATCATCAGGGTAAAATATGATAATCTGCTCCATCAGATGTACCAAACTTGCTGTTCCTCTTTTTAGAAATTGCATCAGTATTCCACAGTAGTATGTTTGTTTCAGCTGCATCCAACTGTTTAATGTCTTTTCTGTAGAAAGGACATGCTCCCATGGAGTTTTATGTGGAAGGGTTGAGGAGTCGCACACTGAAGTCCCTGATGCCTAAATTAGGTGAGTGTACACATGTTAACGCAGTGTTAGTGCATCCCAGGGTAAGTCTTTGTTGCTTTAATCTCACAGCAAGATGAACATGATGGTCTTTTCCCTTTGTCTTCTGTCTCCAACCCCTCGATTAGAGTTTTTTTTTATTGGTTACTATCTGTATGCGTCTGCAGGTATGATGCACATGGTGCTGGAGCCCTACTTTAAAGGTGAGGTGTTTGACGTCACACTGGTGCCCGTCAGTATCAGCTACGACCGAGTGCTGGAGGAGTCGCTGCTTGCCCACGAGTTACTGGGTGTCCCCAAGCCCAAAGAAAGCACCACGGTACGTCCAGCTCACATTACTCACTTCAGCAATAATTAATAATCAGACACCTCACCACCGTCTAGGATTCACTGAGATGTAATGTTATGGTGAAGGTTAATTGGGTGCGGATGAACCTGACTGCCTCATTACTCCGGCCTGTTCTGAATCCCTACTAACATGTCATTTTCTTTCTTGTCCATGTATTATATTTGCAAACAATATGACTTTGACCTCATTACTGCTAGTGAGGAGGGTCATCTATAAATAAAGCTGATTATTCTTGCTTTTGATTCACATCCAGCCTCCATCTTTCTCTGCAGGGTCTGCTGAAGGCTAGCAAAGTGCTTCAGGAAGATTACGGCACCATGCATGTGAACTTTGGCCATCCCCTGTCAGTCAGACAGCTTTGCCAGGGCAAGATAAATCGCTGCCAATACAACCTCATACCCAGGTTCAAAAGTTCTTTACAAATCTGTACAGGATATTCAGTCTGTTTTTCTACATGTGCACCACACTCACCATACAGGGCTTAAACCAGGATTTTAGAAATGCTGAGGTCATGAGTTCAAATTTTCCCATTAGCTACCAACCAAACTCTGTATTGTTTTAAAAAGTCATACCCAAGTCTACCCCTTAATTCATGTGTTTAATTATATTTCCCATAAATGTTCCTTTATATCCCGGCATTAGTGCCAGTTCTAAATTCCTTTCATAATGATTTAATTTATTGGCTGGTTTCCCTGCTGCTCAGGAACTGCAGGGAGGAGGAGGAGCACCTCCCCATACATTGAGCCATGCCTCCATTACAGCAAATAAACATATTACTAAAGGAGGTAAAGGAATAACTGAACATGAGACAGAGCAGGAGAGAGAGAGGGAGAAGTCATTGGTAACGAGGCTTCGTACTAAATGCTATGATCAACTCATACACATATCAAACAGATGGAATTGGACATAAAGACCTGCCTCTAATAAAAGTCTGTTACGTTCTGGAGTTGAAAGTAAATAAAAGCTAAACTATTGTGCATCCCAGATGGAGGTTGTGCTCCGTGAGAGACTAAATTAGATATATGAAGTGTGTAAGGTACACTGCTGTTAGCTCCTTCTTTAGCTCACCTGGTAGGGCAAGTGCTTTGAACTTAATCTTTACCTGGTGGCACAACTTTGGGTCCGGCCCGTGGGCTTTTTACAGCCTCTCTATCTCTATCTCTATCTCTAGCTCTATCTCTAGCTCTATATATAGCTGTAATAAAGGTAAAGGCCTGAAAAAATAACTTTAAAGAAAGATAGTCTGTCTCTTCTAACTTTCTGACTGTTTAGAAGTCTATACACCTGAAATCTCAGTCTTTATCTTTCATTTATGTGTTTGGTGATTTAGTTTAATGACGTTGCAGTTATGACATCAGGACTGGACCATAGGTGGTCCAGACATGTACTAGGTTTTGACCTAGTCTTATTTATAACATACTACACTGACATTTTTATGACTTACTATACCATGATATTTATGACTTACTATAATATGACATTTTATGACAATTCTATGCCTTACTATACTTTGCCGTTTTTTGACATTTTATGCCTTACTATACTATGACGTTTTTTTATATTTTTATGCCTTACTATACTTTGCTGTTTTTTGACATTTTATGCCTTACTATACTATGATGTTTTTTTAATATTTTTATGCCTTACTATACTATGATGTTTTTTTTAATATTTTTATGCCTTACTATACTATGTTTTTTTAATATTTTTATGCCTTACTATACTATGTTTTTTTAATATTTTTATGCCTTACTATACTATGACGTTTTTTTATAATTTTATGCCTCACTATACTATGACGTTTTTTGACATTTTATGCCTCACTATACTATGACGTTTTTTAAATATTTTTATGCCTTACTATACTATGACGTTTTTTTATATTTTTATGCCTTACTATACTATGACGTTTTTTGACATTTTATGCCTCACTATACTATGACGTTTTTTTATATTTTATGCCTCACTATACTATGACGTTTTTTTATATTTTTATGCCTTACTATACTATGATGTTTTTTTAAATATTTTTATGCCTTACTATACTATGATGTTTTTTTAATATTTTTATGCCTTACTATACTATGATGTTTTTTGACATTTTATGCCTTACTATACTATGATGTTTTTTTTATATTTTTATGCCTTACTATACTATGACGTTTTTTTTAATATTTTTATGCCTTACTATACTATGACGTTTTTTTATATTTTTATGCCTTACTATACTATGACGTTTTTTGACATTTTATGCCTCACTATACTATGACGTTTTTTTATATTTTTATGCCTTACTATACTATGACGTTTTTTGACATTTTATGCCTCACTATACTATGACGTTTTTTTATATTTTTATGCCTTACTATACTATGACGTTTTTTTATATTTTTATGCCTCACTATACTATGACATCTTTTTTATATTTTTATGCCTTACTATACTATGTTTTTTTTAATATTTTTATGCCTTACTATACTATGATGTTATTTTAATATTTTTATGCCTTACTATACTATGATGTTTTTTTTAATATTTTTATGCCTTACTATACTATGACGTTTTTTTTAATATTTTTATGCCTTACTATACTATGGCGTTTTTTGACATTTTATGCCTTACTATACTATGACATCTTTTTCATATTTTTATGCCTTACTATACTATGATGTTTTTTTAAATATTTTTATGCCTTACTATACTATGACGTTTTTTTTATATTTTTATGCCTTACTATACTATGACGTTTTTTTTATATTTTTATGCCTTACTATACTGTCCTCAGTAGTTGCTACAGACATGTAATCATCTATTTTCCGGTCTGTCTGCAGCATAGTCTGGCTGTGTCCCTCCCTTCATCCTGCTCACCCCCTTCTCTTCTCTCCCTTTATTTCTGTTCACAGAGATCTTCCTCAGAGGCCCACAGCAGAGGCTCAGGCCTGTGTGAGCTGGCTGGCTCATCTGATGGTACGACTCCAAGAAGAGGGCTCTCTGATCAGCCCATGGTCTCTGATGGCCTGCCTGTTGCTCCAGGCTCCTATCACAGTATTAACAAAGGAGGGTCTTCTGTGGCAGCAGCTCACAGAGAAAACCCTCTGGCTCAGGAAGCTGGCGCTGGACTACGGGGCTCGTCTGAACTGGCATGGTGTGTGAGAAGATAAAATGTTTTGTTTTGTCTTTTTTCCAGCAATATCTTTTATTTTTTTGACACAACATGTAGCAATAACAAAAACAAGAAACATATTCACATCCAAGTCTAAATTAAATGGGGGGGGGGCATTATAAAGTATAGTTGTCAATTTCTAATAAGAACAAAACATAAACCCTAAAGAAATAAGTGAACACTTAAATTATAGAAAAATGAAGACAATATAAATGCATAAAAATTATATAAAATAATACATAAACATATATTGTTTATATTATGGACACACTACATATATCCACGTTGCATTAATGTTGACGTATAAAGAAAAAAAACAGTTTGAAAACAAAAGGTTATCCAGTTATTTAGATAAATCAGACACCAGAGTATAGTTCACCAGCTACAGTTATCACATTACATCACTGAAATCTGTATTCTCCATGAACTCTAAAAAAGGCTGTTTACCTATTAGTATGCAAGTTATTTTTTGCAAAGGTAAAGTTGTAGGTAAAGGTCTTATAAATAAATAACACTTTTGGCAAGTAGAAAAAACACAATATCGTCCTTACACTGGCTGTGTTTATCAGGGTACAATCCTAATATAAAAAGCATTGGGTCAAGTGTTCAATTTACACCCAATATGTTTTCCAGAGTTTGTTCAATCTCCATCCAGAACTTTTAAACTCTATTGTTCCCAAACACAGTGGGGAAAATGTTCCCTTCTCCTGCCCACATCTAAAACACAAGTCTGGGATAGCAGTGTTAAAAGCTGTCCAGCTTTAATGAATGGGTTTAATACATTTTATTTTATGTGCAAATACAGCTGCATCAAGCTTGAGCACATGATTAGGATAAGTGTTAAGCTCTCCTCACGGAGGGACTTCGATGCAGCCTTAACCTTCACATCTCTTGAATGACCAGTAGGGGGCATTTGCATATTGCATTTCAAGTGAACCAGACAGAGTTCATGCAGAGAAAAGTAACCGAGTGCTTTCCCTCCGGCGTCTCACCTCGGGACACTAAAGGCTCCTTCAGCTCTGAGGTAGATCAGACAGATTAGATGAATGTGAGTTGGCACAAGCGTTCAGATTCACTTAGGAGATGTTCAGTGGATTAATGCACTTTAAGTAACTTATCCTGAGACGACCCTACTGAACTGTCTCACTTTACAGGTGTCGGGTGTGTGTAGATTCACATATGCAGGCACATGAACACACACACACGTACACACAAACTATTCTGATGCCAGTCGGACCCTCTGAATACTATTATTACCTATTAAAGAAAGATAACAGAGATGATTTTCTGCAGGACAAGCCGCCGACTCCGACGTGATGTCATCCACCGTGGCCCTTCATCGTTCCGTAGTTCATCACAAAGCGGGACGTGTCTACCTGGTTCAGGAGGAAGAGACAGCGAGGAAGCATCCAATCAGCCCAGAGGAGGGTGTGATAAAGATAGCGGCAGCGGTGCTGATGCTGGCCTCCTATAGGAATCAGGCGCTGCACGTTTTTGTGCGTCCGGCCCTGCTCGCGACCGCCATTCACATCACAAAGAGCACACGGAGAGGTGAAGGTTAACGACGGCATATTTTTTTTCCAGATAACACAGTGTGAAATTCTGTGCCCTCGCTTCATTGTGATCTACTGTTGTGTTCACAGACGAGCTCTTCACCTTCTTCTGCTTCCTGCAGGAGCTCTTTTCCTACGAGTTCATCTTCATCCCTGACAAGTTGTCTCAGGTAAAACCCTCATCTGTCAAGTCAAGGCTCAGCTTCCTCCGAGCATCACAGGACCAGGAGGATTATCGTCCTCTTAAATCGTGTAGGAAATCTTAGTTCGTAGCTCTACCTCTGTCATATTTGGCCTGATGAAGCAATAGCATCCCAGGTTATCTACTTAACCAGTATACTTGGATGGATGATGGCTGCTTGAGTTGTTACTTCATTTTAAATCTATACATAATGTTACTGATTTTGTGTTAATGTCTGTCCATCAATCAGGACTTTGAGGAGGCGTGCTTCCTCCTGAAGAAATGTGGAGCAGTCCACCTGAGCCAGCAGGAAGTAACACTGTCAGACACAGGGCTGGAGGCGCTGTCCTTCCTGCAGGCACTACTACAACCCTTCATAGATTCCTATCAGGTGCTTTGACGTGTGCCTTCTATGACCATGATAACATGTCGTGCACATAAATGAAATTCAGGTTATTTAGCAGGGAGAGGGTGGAGAGAACAACATTTTATTTCAGCATTACTGAGCCCCAACTTTTTATTTTTAAATGGTTTTGATGTTTCAGCTGATTGCAGTATTTTTAGATTAGTCTATTCAAATGTGACAACTTTTAGGTCAACAAAAATTTAATGAGGCTTTGAAACAGAATTTAAACCTCCGTGGTGGAAAATTAAACCAGTTAGACTTTATTTCCCAATAATTTTCCAAAACATCACCTGGAAGTTAGTTTAGTTTATGGCACTTCTCTCTTTTTAAATGGCCTGCTACAACAGAATTAATAAAATATAAAACATATAATATATAAGAAAAGAAGGAAGTTTAGGTTCGTCTGCTTGATCAGGTTGTGTTTTTATGTCCAGGTGATGTTCAGGTACCTCTCTGAAGATGAGGTTCATGTGTTCACAGAGAAACAGGTCCTACCTGCTGTGAGAAACCTGGCTACAAAGCTCATCCTCTCAGGTAAAACAGAAAGTGTGACAACTCTGACCTCTAGAACTGTCTCCAGCTTCTCCAGCTCAGCAAACCACATCGCCGTGATTATCTCTCTGTTGTGCAGGTGAGCTTCACACCTATGAAGCCCTTTCATCTGACACACAGAAAAACGTTTTGTCGGCTCTGCGACGACTGGAGGCTGTGACAAAGTTCAAGGCGTGAGTAATGGGATTAGCCCCTGCAAATCTGTTTGGTTTTAAGCTCATTTTCTGTGGTGGTTGAGAAGCTGTTTGCATTTTCGATGCCAGAGTTATGCATGAGTATCTTGTTTCCTCATCACAGGTCTGAGCAGAGTGAATACAAAGTGAACAAAGCAGCTGTTAGAAGAATTGGAGACATACTTTGTAAGTTGTGATATTTTTGATGAAGATAGAACAGTTGTTTTGAGTCTTGCAAATGAATATTTTGGTGTAGTTTAATTTTTAAAATAGACTGTCGTTTACCATACCAAAAACATGAGGGATTTTTCTTTTTCCTCTCTCCCTGTAGTGGGGAAAATCCTTCCCCAGATGCTCCAGACTACACCTGATGCGAGGCTTTAGTCTCCAATGGAATAGATCCATCCTAAGTATCAGCCCTTAGTCCTGTTCACCCCTGTTTGACCCCGTCCTCCTCTCCCTTTTCACATCTTTGTCCTCATCCTCTTCCCTCGGAGCCGTTATGCAGAACTGCTGCACCTTAACTCTGAGCTCTCAGACAAAATACTTTATCCTGGATGCCGGACTTAACCTGGCTGCGTTCCACTCTTGAACATTCACTACCTCCCCCTCTCCATGTCCTTGCTCTCATCCCTTACAGATCTGACAGGGCTAAGATAAAGCTACAAACACCTGGCATGGTGACCCAAAGGTGACGGTGTAGCTGATTTTGTTTGACGTTATAATCAGAATTAGTTTTTGATGAAAACAGTTTTTAAATTAAAACAAAAAAGTGCCTTCCTGCCCTTCCAGGTGTGACAGAAGCATTGGTGATGCCTGTGGACTATGACTTCATTTTAATAACTTACATTGTGTTAATACATTTTTAACTTTCTGTTCCAGATTTATTGTTGATTGATACGACTGATAGTGTGAATGAGCAAAAAAGCACTGATAAATAAACTGTCTGCTGACTTAAGCCCAATTAGATAGTAAACACCGACACTGAATTATGACACTTGATTGTATGTGCATTAATGTAGCAATAAGGTATAAATATCACAACAATGTCAACCAATCAAACACGTGAGATTTTGTTTGAGAAATTTATTTTAACTTCTTTACATCTCAATAAATGTAAAACAAATGTAACAAAATGCACCATAGATTGTTTTATCTTTTTCACACTTAAATATCATTTCTTTTCTGATTCTGTTAGTACTATTCCCTCAGCAACACCAGAGGTCAAAGTTCAACCTCCTGTCCTCTCTGCAAACCAATCAACACTCTGCCTGCACCTGTAACCCCTCAGCAATTAGAAGAAGGCCTCTTATGTGCCAATTAACCAGGAAATTGTTTTACAAGGACAAAGATTATCTATACACAGGTGGCACGTCGACCTTGATGCGTAAAGCGCTGACAGGGTCTTGACAAAACACCGAGATGTATTCCAACACTTTAGAATTTAACTTTTTCTCGCTCTCTCTGGCTCTGTGCCGCTCTTTGTCCCATCTCTCCTTCTCGCCGTTCATTTGGGAGAACAGGTTGACTTGGATGGTGCGCAGCGTCGCCGCCAGGACGTAGAAGCCTCCCTGCAGCATGTGGCAGAAGGCGGCGCCCACACTGAGCGCTGCGCCCATCAGGTTAGGCACCGTCTCGCACACCACGCACATGCCCTCCAGGAAGTGCAGCGTGCCTTTCCTGGCCAGGGGTTGGCCTTGGTGGGGGTAGCCGTGAGGGGAGGGGGTCTGCTGGGCATGGTTGAAAAGGTATCTCGCACAGTCGGCGAAGTGGGTGGCGGCTCGGCGCAGCGGGAGCAGGGCCAGGTACAGGTGACAAGCTGCTTTGGTCAGAGCATGGAAGAGCAGCCGCAGCTCAAGCACGGCGTTGCCTGGAGATAAGAGGGTAACGGGGTCAGCTGGAGTCTAATTTAACACTGTGGCTAATGTCAGTTACCATTACAAACAGCGTCTGCCACTGGATTAAAGTCTGTACAGCAGCCATGTGGGCAGTGGGTGTCACCTGAGCACGCAAAGCGAGTGGTGTGGTGCGTTATTACGCACTACTGCTGCACAGGATCAATCATCAGTTAAATTGACCAATATCACAAATGATTTAATCTGCAATACAGACAAATTCTTACTTTCTATTGCAGTTTCGTTTTTGGCAAGAGTATGTCTTGGAACGATTAGCCATAAAACCCTTTCGAATTATTAGTCTCAAAAATGCCAAAGAAGAAAGTCTAAAGTGAGGAAAACCACTATTTTTGCGAAGCATTTATTAAATTACACCTTCTTAGTTTAAGATGTACTACACACAAAATGACTCCTAAATATTTTAGTGGATGACATCCACTGTTACACATGCGGCAGCGTGCGTAAAATCTGAATAATGTCATGACTTCCTGATTTAAGATGTCCCTGTGTGCTAAGCGTCCGTTTATGGCTTTTGGGCAACTGATAATTAATTCTTAGCAAATCTGAAAGAAAAGAATTTGGTTTATACCAAGAAAAGTGCTTTACATTGAATATGTTTCCGCCTTAAGGTAGTCCCGAAAAGCTTACAAATCTCCACTTGTCATTTTCCTCTTACCGTCTATGAAGCAGAATATCCACAGCAGGGCAATACACGCTGCCAACGAAGTCCACCAATCCATGTAGTCTCCCCCCTGTCCTGGACCCGGCAACGAAAGGAAAGAAAGCAGTGAAAATCCCAAGTTATGATCTGGCCAAGCCCTGCCCTGCCCTGCCTTTACGCAGCTAATACCCAAACATTAAGTACTCGCATTCTCCGCAGGTGTCGGAGTGTTGCCGTGGAACACCTTGAAAGTGCACATCAGGTGTCAACGGGCTTATTAAGACCAGCAGAGTACAACTCTTTAACCCAGTGCACCTTATAGTAGCAGCTTTACAGGCCCGAGCAAGCTCCTCAGAAATAGACTTTCTGAAACTCTCTGAACTCACAGGGCTTACTTTGAATCTTTTTTGTTTTACAATTTAAAATACCAAATGGTCACCTAAATAAGCTACAACTTTTCGTTATTCCACGGATTTCTTTCAATATGAGTTGGGTGTCAGACGGGATCCCTTGTGATGTCATTAACTACTCTTTCAAATAACACATGTACTGATTGTCTCAGTGTCTATAGAGGATGATATTTTCCAGTCTGTGGGTATATAGCCAACCACTCAGGCTGGATAAACTCAGTCCGTCTAAACACACGTGAGTGTTAGACAAGGTAGCAATCACCCTGCCTAAAATAGATAGGACTATTGCTATTGTAATGGAGAATAATTAAGAACAAAAAATATTTAAGTTATACGGCGGAAAATAAATAATTACAAGGTGAAAATTCTACGAGTTGTTAAATCTCTCGGTGCCGAATTTAAAATATATGTAATAATTTATGTTTTTGACCAAATATGTCATTAATTGTCGCTCCTGTCCCAAGAATTTCGGTCCATTAAGATTTTATTTGTTAAACTTTAAATTTGTTAAACCAAATGTATATAGATTGATATGCTTACATATGAAACGCCGCGTGCGTCCTGAGAACGTCTTTGCAGCGCGTGCTCGTCTCGGCTCGTTTGTGTGTGCCGGTGTCATGGCAACGGAAAACCTCCAGACGGTAGGACACCTGGAGGAGGCCTCTCCCCTCCTCTCTCTCGCTCTCTCTCTCCCTGCAGGTTACTACCTCTGTTGACAGCTGAGGCTGGTCTGAGGAGGGAACAAGCAGTCGCCACTCTTTAAAATGCTTCACCTTTTTAATGTGACGACCTTCAGACCGTAAACCAAGGATATTGTGTTTAATTTTGGCTGTTTGGCTTTTTTTTCCCCAAACGTCCTCAAGTCAACAAAGGTAAGAAACCATAACACTGCAGTGGCGACACAGGCTTAATTACTAAAGTAAAGGCACCGATTGGATTAGAGTTAATTTAATTTCATGCAATATTGCTCTCCCACAGTTTGTAGCCTTTAAGTGATACAAATGTAGCCTGTTTAGCCTGTGGCACCACGGGCTTTAGCTAATACACATATAGATTAAGATTTATTGGGGCCAATAGACCCATAACAAGCTAGTTATCATCACTGATAACTCAAAAGTATTTTTTTCTCATGATGCAGGGATGAGCCCTATCAAGAAGAAAGACACTGCCAGTGGCTTGATCACCTTCCACACACCATTTCCTGTCAGCCTGTTGAAACCAGAGGTAAGGAAAAACATGCAAGTGTCTCTTAATAAATGTATAAGTGCCACTAAAAACAAAAAAGATCTAAGTAATAGTCTTATAATGCAACTTTAAAACACCAACAACTTTTTATAATCTACATCAGGACTGCTATATACACACACACACACACACACACACACACACACACACACACACACACACACACACACACACACACACCACATAGCCAACACTTCTTGTCAGTTCACCACCCTGCCAAATTCATCATGAACTTCTAGCAATTGAAGAGCAATAGGGGTCGAGGTTTTCTGCTCAACAGTATAATATATAGAATTTTTTCTCTCTTGCATGCACACTGCTGTTGCCCTTTCACGGAGTGAAACTGTGAACTCTTGCCAACTAATAATTTATCACCAGTCTTTTAATGTCAGAGAGGCTGTGTACCCTTGCCAGCCTGGATAGTTTGGCAGCGGGTACAATGCCTGTCTGAATGCATGGCTGCCCTTCTTTCTGTCCTGTCAGTACAGTGACATGTCTGAATGTACGATGCTGGAATCTCGATGTCTTAGCAAGGGATGAATGAAAAAGGTTTCAAGTTATTGACAGACACACATAGTAGCTACTGTTATCAACATGGACAACAGAAAGAAAGTACATGGTGCTGGATCAGGTGAAATGCAAATGAACAATGCATCCAAATGCATGTACTGCACATTAAATCAAGATAGTACTACTAGTTCAGACAAATGCATCAAAAGGCACAGCAAGGAAAGAAGCTGCCACCTTCGTGCTGATATCAAACATAAGTCATGCCAAAAAAATCTCCATAGTGCTCTCACATACATGTTCTACCATATGTGTTTGCGTAACAGTGAGAAGCGGCTCATGTTTCCAGGTAGTGATACGATCTGTCACTGCCTGTTGTGCTGGCTTTTGTTACCTTCTGTACACCTACATGATTGTGTTTGGTCTGTCTGTGAGCTCGAGCTGGGATTTCCAGGAGTCAACAATCCACTTGTGGCTGTGCAGTTTGTTTTCACGCAGTCTTGCATTCACAGTGGGTAAAATTCAGTTATAAAACAAGTTGTAGTTAGAATAATATTTGCTATTATCTATGGTGTGATTTGAGATTAACTACAAATGATTTCTGAAAATGAAACTGTACACTGCAAACCAGAACAACAGCATGTTTTTAAATAGTTACAGATCATAGTTGATAAGCGTCCACAGAAGTGACTCTACTGGTGTTTCAGGAGTGCACGGCAGGTGTGAAGGATGCCACAGGGGCCAGAAAGTGGCCATCTCAGCCGAGTGTGATGCCGAGGAGCAGCAGTGGACGTGTAAGAGCAGGGAAAAGGGATGAAGCCTCGCCCTCTGGATCACAACCCGGTGCCGAACAGGACTGGCTCTCTCACACCTCCCTAAGACATCTGCAGGTAGTGCACTCATCCACGAACATGCATACACAGAGAGAAGGTTACTTTTCTTACTGCATGTGTTGCCATTTAGACAAAGATGGAGGCGGAAAATCAACAGGCAAGAGAGATAATCAAACCTTTACTGGACACAGAAAATGGTTTTGTGAAGGTAAGATGCTTCTGGTTTCTGTAGCTTTGCTGTTTTTGTGTTTAATGTGCTTACATTCTCTAACTTATGTTGCTTTCAGTAAAATGATGCAGCTTTTTCCATATCTTGCTCTTCATGGTGTTACAAAAGAAAAGACTTTGAGTCGCAGGGAAACACATTGACCTTTTTGTAACTCCCATGTTGGCTTAAATGCGTCGTCATTGAGGAGTTGGAGAGGTTTCTGAGCCAAAGAGATGTCACACAGCTGAGGAGGAGGGAGCTGCTGCACAAGCGCTGGACTGAGCGTGTATGGTTTCCCCTCCAGAGGAGAGTGGAGGAACATGTGTCCAGCTGTAGCACTTTGGAGGTCAAGAGGCGCCAGAGCTTGTATAGTCGCTATCTCCAACACTGCAACACCAAGGTAATGCTGAAGCTCAGACTTTTTTTTGTGCTACTACAAAAATAAGCAAAGCTAACTAAAGAGATTTATATTAATCTGACTACTGTCTTTCACCGTCAGGGTTTTGTGTTTCTAGAAACTTATGATCTAAAGGAGTACAATCCCTTTCTTCTCAACATCAAAAAGCCACAATACTTCAAGGTGATTTTTGTGACTTAAATATTTTACTCAATATTTAAAAAAAAAAAAAAAAAAAAAAAAACAGTTTTGGACATATTCACATATTTCAAATGTGCCCATTACTGACAATCTATTAACCACTCTATCGCCAGCTCAACACAGCTGACTTAAAGGACTCATTACACCTTCAGTTACATCAAAGACGGGAGGAAAAGAGAACAGCTCGTTCTTGTGAAGCAGGTATCTGGGTATTTTGCTTTTTTTAACCAAAAGGAAATTTAAGACTTAATGTGAATGCTTTGAGTTTGAGCTGAGATAACTGTAGTGGCATTTTCTCTTAAATTTGGGGAAATTAAAGCAAAGCTATGTTACTTCCAAAAATCTTCCTATTCCAAAAGTATTCAAGTTGTATTCATGAGCATTTAAAGGCACCTTGAGCAATTCAAAACACTCAGGGGTTTGCCTTACTTGGTCTGGTATGACCAATAACTTATGGTGGCTAAAGTTAGCTAGTGTTAGCAAACTTATATTGCGCTATAGAGAACATTAGTGAGTCATCTCCACTTGTGCTACTGTTACATTACTTTAGCATTTTAGCTAAATGCTAAACAGTAGTTTTGCATGGATAATCATCCCATTAATCAGTCAACCCAAATCATTGTAAATCCTAATTAGTTTTAAATCTTTAGACAGATTTGTGATGGTTTTTTATGACTCTTCAAATTATAAATTGGTTTCTGTTCTATCTTAGGATGTAAATACACAGGGAGACAAGCAAAGAAGCTACCTCACAGTGATCGTCCTCTCAGTGAGTCCGTGACACCTCAGGCCAGCACACCTCAACAGGCCTCATCCTCATCCGGAAAAACTCCAGTGGTGGATGAGGCTGAAAGAAGGAAGTTCAGCAGGTACATATATACGGCATTAAAAGAATTAGTTTTATTTATTAACCATGTTTTCTATAACACTGTAAGATATGCAACGACACCACAACATCAGTTAAGAATTACAGTAATAAGTTGTGTGTGAGAAGTAACGTAAGTGTCTCATCCAGGCTTGATTCGATACCATACCACATAAGTGCAACTGCCACACCAGATGGAAGGTGCCATCAGACCAGCTGCTGTTTCTCCACAAGTGGAAGTTTACAGCAACTTCAGTCCTTTCCTACGTTCAAATAAAATCTTTGTTTAACACACATCTTCACCTCAATTCGCTTTTAACTACCTCAGTTTTCCCAGGTACCCTACTTGAAAGTGTCAGGACTCTGGTAAACAAACAATGTGTTGAGAAAGTAGTAAAATCATTACGCCACAACAAAGAAAAATGTTTACTGTATGTACCTTTTTATTCACGCCATTTTCAAGATTTAATGGCATACTTGGTTACACCAAAGGATGTCAAGTAACCGTTGACATTACATTGTACAGTGGTGTGCAACAAAGGGCAGGGTGAATGTATAATAGGGTATGTGAACACATGTAGGACAGGCTGTATTCCCTCACTAAGAGTGAAATAGTATCTTATACAAATTTGTATATATGATATAAAAATATTGCATTTCGTAACCATTTAGGAAAACTTCCTGGTTACATTTTAAGGCATGGCAATTAAAGTATTGGCAATTCTGTTCACATTTTTGCTGATTTGATTGTAGCAAGAATTCCCTTTTCCACAATAAATTACTACTTCTGAGGATATTTCACCAGTTTCTCGCTCTACTTCCCTTTCTTTTTGAGGTCACGTCTCGATGGCTCAGGGCAGAACGAGTAGCAGAATGGGTTTTTCATTGCATCTCTTGCACTGCTACAAACAGGAACTTTTAGGCTCTTAAAATGTTTCTGCTTATGAAAAATGTCTCATTACTATAGAATGAAGTCTGTGCCTGAGGGAGTGTTTGGGTGTGTGTTGTCCTCATTTGCTGGGTTCATAAAGCTGTAGGTCTAGTTTCACCCAAACCTCTCCAGTTGGGACTTCATGTAGTAGTAGGCGTCGGTTTGCAGCACCTTTGCTTTCCATCTCTTTCTTGATGGTTGCCACAGGAACTTCGGTCCGACCCAGGAAATCTGGAGAGGCAGAAAACAGTCATTTAGTAAAACTGCAGAACTTAGTGTTTTTAAGACAATGTTTACAAACAGCTTCATGGGCTTTCAATATCTGAAACACACAGTCACGTCAGAACAGAAAGAGAGACACAACAAAACAAAAGCAATCATCAGAACCTTGCATCCAGTCAAGGATTATGTCTGTTCCATTGATTCTGTACTGACGGGACAAACTGCACAAAAAGCTTTATAATCCATTATGTCTGAGTAAGCATCTCTTTATCCACTGACCATCTGGTGAGAACTGGTCTTTCTCGAACACAGTGATACACAGGACGTCCTGGTAGAGGTCTTTGATAAAGAACTGGCAGTTGAAGTTCCACTTGGGGTTCAGAGTGTCGCTGATGGGCCGGGAGGTGTAGCACTGAGCCCCCATGGTCAGCTCACAGTACGGGTTACTTTTACCTGGAGAGAAATAATGAGGGTTTTCAAATGAACTAGTCATTACTTTTATAATACACACTGTATTAGTATTTCTTTAAGAAATGGAACGCTGGACAGTCTTATCCCATCACAGAGCCTCACCATTGGGCTTACAGGCCTTGAGCTCCTGAGCTTCAGTGACAGTCACCAGCAAGCGACCGATACCACTGGTTTTCAGGGAACGAGCTAAAACAAACACAGAGCCATTAGACATAAGCCTGAAACACACAAGAGGCTTTGACTGTTGAAACAACTGATGTAGTGAATAATGTGTGGACAATATACACACAGGTGGTAAAAATGAGTAAGGGACTGTATAAAAATTATTAGGGGAAGAGGATTATAGATAAGTTTTTTGTGTTTATTTACTCACCCCATATTTATATATTTATTTACATTCTGGATTGATTTTGAAAACAAAATCACATTCACATTAACTTGTATCACATACAACAGAAAATGTTTTTAAAAAAGTGAAATGTATCATAAAATTGTCTAATTACATTCAAGTTTAGCCTTTTTCTTAGTATCTCTTTATTCTAAAATTTGGAATATTCATTTTGTTGTATTAGCCATAATTTTGAAAATTGCTTATTCTACTAACATGCACTGTGCACTGATGCCATAGTGAAAATTATTTCATGAATATATTGTGTATTTACATTAGAATACACTTATCGAATTCTTTATATTCTGTCTCTTTTATTTATAAAATGGTTAAATTAGTTCTTAGTTTAATCAACTCACAACTATATTAGGAGAATATATTGCAATTTTTTATTTTTTTTAAATTGAAATACAAGATGCAACCCCCCCCCCCCCCCCCCC